AAATACAAATGTTCAAATAAGTGTGATTTTGATAAACATATTATTATCATAAGATAGTCAGTATGTCCTCCCAATAATCAAACTTGACAGTTGGAAGATACAGCAAGTCTTACCTGTTGCAGAAATAGAAGATGTGTTGACACTGAGAGAAAAATTGGAACTGGAAGAGGCAGTCACCAAAGTTCCAGCCACAGAAGTGGCATTTGGTAATGTATTCCCTTCATTGAATATCAGTTCAACATCTACCACCACAGATCCTTGACTGTAACACAAATATTTGTTTAAGTATATTTTATGCCCTATGTCCTATTGTATATGTTAGCAAAACAAGTACAACAGGCATTTATAAAATGTAATGGCAAGCAATTGTTTTATACCTGAAGCTGTTGATGACAGTACGATTGAAAGCTGGATCCCTATTGTTTCTGAATAGACCATGTCGAGCTGTGAATGAATTTAGTTGAAAAACATTAAATCATTTCAGAATAAATATGAAAGAAGACAATTATCATTTGAGATTTGTGCTTTTTAATAAATGTTCATGAGCAGCAAAGGATAGTGGAAGACGCAAAATCTGTAGAAATAATTAATATGAACTTACCACTGTAGTCACTTCGTTCTTTAATTCAAGGAACGCTGGTGAAGATTTGTTTGCAAGTTGAGGAGTAAAGGTTTGCTGAATCTTAAATTCCAACTTGATTTTTGACTCTGTTGTGGTAGGTGTTGGGGTTGTAGTTGCAGTTGGAGAGCTTGTAGTTGTGATGCTTGGTGGTGATGATGTTCCAGTGACAGGTGGAGTGCTTGCATTACCTTAACATTTATAAAATATTAATTGGAATTTAATATATCATTACAGCAAGACAAGTATTAACACATTTGGAAATTGAAGTCAGTGATAGAGGGTCCAACGAAAAAACATAAATTGTTGGTATATTTTTGGTGTATCTGTAATTCGAGCTACATAAATAGAATCATGATCATCATCATTGACTAGTGGTAAAATTATTTAAAGTTATTTTATTGGATTTTAAGTTATATTTTATTTGTTGAAGAGCATGAATTACCTACTAAAGCCATTATTGTGACTGACAAGTGAAGTAATGTTGACTGGTGATAAGGTGGGGTGGCCAGGATGTGTAGTGATGTTAACTGTTGTTGAAGAAATATTAATGTTGACTGTTGGGGAAGTAATGTTGACTGGTGGTGATGTCATGTTGACTGGTGATGAGGTGGGGTTGACTGGTGATGTCATGTTGAATGGTGGTAAAGTAAAGTTGCCTGATGGGGAAATAATGTTGTCTGGTGCTGTCATGTTGATTTGTGATGAGGTGGGATTGACTGGTGATGTCATATTGACTGGTGGTGAAGTAATGTTGGGAAGTGGTGATGTCATGTTGACTTGTATTGAGGTGGGGTTTACTGGCGAGGTCATATTACCTGGTGCTGAAGTAATGTCAACTGGTGATGATGAAGTCATGTTGACAGGTGCTGATGTCATGTTGACTGGTGATGAAGTGGGGCTGACTGGTGATGAAGTCATGTTTACTGGTGGTGAAGTAAAGTTGACTGGTGGTGGGGTGGGGTTGAATGTTGATGTCATGTTGACTGGTGGTGAGGTAATGTTGACTGGTGAAAGGGTTGTTTTGAGTGGTGATGTCATGTTGATTTGTGATGAGGTGGGATTGGCTGTGGTTGAAGTAATGTTGACTTGTGGTGATGTCAAGTTGACTGATGGTGAAGTCAAGTTAACTGGTGATGAAGTGGGGCTCTGACTGGTTGATGTCATGTTGACTGGTGATGTGGTGGGGTTGACTGGTGATGTCATGTTGACTGGTAGTGAAGTAATGTTGTGGTGGTGGCGATGTCATAGTTGACTGGTAATGAGGTGGGGTTGGCTGGTGATGTCCTGTGTACTGGTGGTGAATGTCATGTTGGGAAGTGGTGATGTCATGTTGACAGGTGATGAGGTGGGGTTGACTGGTGATGTCATGTTGACTGGTGGTGGAAGTAAAGTTGACTGGTGGCGATGTCATGTTGACTGGTGATGAGGTGGGGTTGATTGGTGATGTCATGTTGACTGGTGATGTGGTGGGGGTTGACTGGTGATGTCATGTTACCTGGTGCTGAAGTAATGTCAACTGGTGGTGATGAAGTCATGTTGACTGGTGCCGATGTCATGTTGACTGGTGATGAAGTGGGGCTGACTGGTGATGTCATGTTGACTGGTGATGTGGTGGGGTTGACTGGTGATGTGATGTTGACTGGTGGTGAAGTAAAGTTGACTTGTGGCGATGTCATGTTGACTGGTGATGAGGTGGGGTTGACTTGTGATGTCATGTTGACTGGTGGTGAAGTAAAGTTGACTGGTGGCGATGTCATGTTGACTGGTGATGAGGTGGGGTTGACTGGTGATGTCATGTTGACTAGTGGTGAAGTAATGTTTGGAAGTGGTGATGTCCTGTTGACTGGTGATGAAGTGGGATTGAATGGTGATGAGGTGAAGTTTACTGGAAGTGAGGTGATGTTGTGTAGTGGTGACGTCATGTTGACTGGTGATGAGGTGGGGGTTGAACGGTGATGTCATATTTTCTGGTGGTGAAGTAAAGTTTACTGGTGGTGAAGTAATGTTGGCTGGTGATGATGTCATGTTAACTGGTGGTGATGTCATGTTGACTGAAGGTGAAGTTGGGTGGACTGGTGGTGAAGTAATGTTGAATGGTGATGTGGTTGGGTTGAAGGGTGATGTAATGTTGACTGGCGGTGATGTCATGTTGACTGATGGTGATGTCATGTTGACTGATGGTGAAGTTGGGTTGACTGAGGGTGAAGTAATGTTGACTGGTGGTGATGTTGGGTTGACTGGTGATGTAATGTTGACTGGTGGTGAAGTAATGTTGACTGATGGTGAGGTTGGGTTGACTGGTTGATGTAATATTGACTGATGGTGAAGTAATGTTGGCTGGTGATGATGTCATGTTAACTGGTGGTGATGTCATGTTGACTGAAGGTGAAGTTGGGTGGACTGGTGGTGAAGTAATGTTGAATGGTGATGTGGTTGGGTTGAAGGGTGATGTAATGTTGACTGGTGGTGATGTCATGTTGACTGATGGTGAAGTTGGGTGGACTGGTGGTGATGTAATGTTGACTGGCGGTGATGTCATGTTGACTGGTGGTGATGTCATGTTGACTGATGGTGATGTTGGGTTGACTGGTGACGTAATGTTGACTGGTGTTGATGTCATGTTGACTGGTGGTGATGTAATGTTGACTGGCGGTGATGTCATGTTGGCTGGTGTTGATGTCATGTTGACTAATGGTGAAGTTGGGTGGAGTGATGGTGAGGTAATGTTGACTGGTGTTGATGTCATGTTGACTGGTGGTGATGTAATGTTGACTGATGGTGAAGTTGGGTTGACTAAGGGTGAAGTAATGGTGACTGGTGTTGATGTCATGTTGACTGGTGGTGAGGTGATGTTACCTGATGATGAGGTCATGTTGACTGGTGATGATGTCATGTTGACTGGTGATGATGTTGGGTTGACTGGTGATGATGTTGGGTTGACTGGTGATGAAGTCATGTTGACTGGAGGTGAGGTGATGTTGACAAGTGGTGTTGAAGGGGCAACTGTGGTTGGGGCTGGAGTTGCAGCTAAAACAACTACAAATACAAATGTTCAAATAAGTGTGATTTTGATAAACATATTATTATCATAAGATAGTCAGTATGTCCTCCCAATAATCAAACTTGACAGTTGGAAGATACAGCAAGTCTTACCTGTTGCAGAAATAGAAGATGTGTTGACACTGAGAGAAAAATTGGAACTGGAAGAGGCAGTCACCAAAGTTCCAGCCACAGAAGTGGCATTTGGTAATGTATTCCCTTCATTGAATATCAGTTCAACATCTACCACCACAGATCCTTGACTGTAACACAAATATTTGTTTAAGTCATATTTTATGCCCTATTGTCCTATTGTATATGTTAGCAAACAAGTACAACAGGCATTTATAAAATGTAATGGCAAGCAATTGTTTTATACCTGAAGCTGTTGATGACAGTACGATTGAAGCTGGATCCATATTGTTCTGAATAGACCATGTCGAGCTGTGAATGAATTTAGTTGAAAAACATTAAATCATTTCAGAATAAATATGAAAGAAGACAATTATCATTTGAGATTTGTGCTTTTTAATAAATGTTCATGAGCAGCAAAGGATAGTGGAAGACGCAAAATCTGTAGAAATAATTAATATGAACTTACCACTGTAGTCACTTCGTTCTTTAATTCAAGGAACGCTGGTGAAGATTTGTTTGCAAGTTGAGGAGTAAAGGTTTGCTGAATCTTAAATTCCAACTTGATTTTTGACTCTGTTGTGGTAGGTGTTGGGGTTGTAGTTGCAGTTGGAGAGCTTGTAGTTGTGATGCTTGGTGGTGATGATGTTCCAGTGACAGGTGGAGTGCTTGCATTACCTTAACATTTATAAAATATTAATTGGAATTTAATATATCATTACAGCAAGACAAGTATTAACACATTTGGAAATTGAAGTCAGTGATAGAGGTCCAACGAAAAAACATAAATTGTTGGTATATTTTTGGTGTATCTGTAATTCGAGCTACATAAATAGAATCATGATCATCATCATTGACTAGTGGTAAAATTATTTAAAGTTATTTTATTGGATTTAAGTTATATTTTATTTGTTGAAGAGCATGAATTACCTACTAAAGCCATTATTGTGACTGACAAGTGAAGTAATGTTGACTGGTGATAAGGTGGGGTGGCCAGGATGTGTAGTGATGTTAACTGTTGTTGAAGAAATATTAATGTTGACTGTTGGGGAAGTAATGTTGACTGGTGGTGATGTCATGTTGACTGGTGATGAGGTGGGGTTGACTGGTGATGTCATGTTGAATGGTGGTAAAGTAAAGTTGCCTGATGGGGAAATAATGTTGTCTGGTGCTGTCATGTTGATTTGTGATGAGGTGGGATTGACTGGTGATGTCATATTGACTGGTGGTGAAGTAATGTTGGGAAGTGGTGATGTCATGTTGACTTGTATTGAGGTGGGGTTTACTGGCGAGGTCATATTACCTGGTGCTGAAGTAATGTCAACTGGTGATGATGAAGTCATGTTGACAGGTGCTGATGTCATGTTGACTGGTGATGAAGTGGGGCTGACTGGTGATGAAGTCATGTTTACTGGTGGTGAAGTAAAGTTGACTGGTGGTGGGGTGGGGTTGAATGTTGATGTCATGTTGACTGGTGGTGAGGTAATGTTGACTGGTGAAAAGGTTGTTTTGAGTGGTGATGTCATGTTGATTTGTGATGAGGTGGGATTGGCTGTGGTTGAAGTAATGTTGACTTGTGGTGATGTCAAGTTGACTGATGGTGAAGTCAAGTTAACTGGTGATGAAGTGGGGTTGACTGGTGATGTCATGTTGACTGGTGATGTGGTGGGGTTGACTGGTGATGTCATGTTGACTGGTAGTGAAGTAATGTTTGGTGGTGGCGATGTCATATTGACTGGTAATGAGGTGGGGTTGGCTGGTGATGTCATGTTGACTGGTGGTGATGTCATGTTGGGAAGTGGTGATGTCATGTTGACTGGTGATGAGGTGGGGTTGACTGGTGATGTCATGTTGACTGGTGGTGAAGTAAAGTTGACTGGTGGCGATGTCATGTTGACTGGTGATGAGGTGGGGTTGATTGGTGATGTCATGTTGACTGGTGATGTGGTGGGGTTGACTGGTGATGTCATGTTACCTGGTGCTGAAGTAATGTCAACTGGTGGTGATGAAGTCATGTTGACTGGTGCCGATGTCATGTTGACTGGTGATGAAGTGGGGCTGACTGGTGATGTCATGTTGACTGGTGATGTGGTGGGGTTGACTGGTGATGTGATGTTGACTGGTGGTGAAGTAAAGTTGACTTGTGGCGATGTCATGTTGACTGGTGATGAGGTGGGGTTGACTTGTGATGTCATGTTGACTGGTGGTGAAGTAAAGTTGACTGGTGGCGATGTCATGTTGACTGGTGATGAGGTGGGGTTGACTGGTGATGTCATGTTGACTAGTGGTGAAGTAATGTTTGGAAGTGGTGATGTCCTGTTGACTGGTGATGAAGTGGGATTGAATGGTGATGAGGTGAAGTTTACTGGAAGTGAGGTGATGTTGTGTAGTGGTGACGTCATGTTGACTGGTGATGAGGTGGGGTTGAACGGTGATGTCATATTTTCTGGTGGTGAAGTAAAGTTTACTGGTGGTGAAGTAATGTTGGCTGGTGATGATGTCATGTTAACTGGTGGTGATGTCATGTTGACTGAAGGTGAAGTTGGGTGGACTGGTGGTGAAGTAATGTTGAATGGTGATGTGGTTGGGTTGAAGGGTGATGTAATGTTGACTGGTGGTGATGTCATGTTGACTGATGGTGATGTCATGTTGACTGATGGTGAAGTTGGGTTGACTGAGGGTGAAGTAATGTTGACTGGTGGTGATGTTGGGTTGACTGGTGATGTAATGTTGACTGGTGGTGAAGTAATGTTGACTGATGGTGAGGTTGGGTTGACTGGTGATGTAATATTGACTGATGGTGAAGTAATGTTGGCTGGTGATGATGTCATGTTAACTGGTGGTGATGTCATGTTGACTGAAGGTGAAGTTGGGTGGACTGGTGGTGAAGTAATGTTGAATGGTGATGTGGTTGGGTTGAAGGGTGATGTAATGTTGACTGGTGGTGATGTCATGTTGACTGATGGTGAAGTTGGGTGGACTGGTGGTGATGTAATGTTGACTGGCGGTGATGTCATGTTGACTGATGGTGATGTCATGTTGACTGATGGTGATGTTGGGTTGACTGGTGACGTAATGTTGACTGGTGTTGATGTCATGTTGACTGGTGGTGATGTAATGTTGACTGGCGGTGATGTCATGTTGGCTGGTGTTGATGTCATGTTGACTAATGGTGAAGTTGGGGTGGAGTGATGGTGAGGTAATGTTGGCTGGTGTTGATGTCATGTTGACTGGTGGTGATGTAATGTTGACTGATGGTGAAGTTGGGTTGACTAAGGGTGAAGTAATGGTGACTGGTGTTGATGTCATGTTGACTGGTGGTGAGGTGATGTTACCTGATGATGAGGTCATGTTGACTGGTGATGATGTCATGTTGACTGGTGATGATGTTGGGTTGACTGGTGATGATGTTGGGTTGACTGGTGATGAAGTCATGTTGACTGGAGGTGAGGTGATGTTGACAAGTGGTGTTGAAGGGGCAACTGTGGTTGGGGCTGGAGTTGCAGCTAAAACAACTACAAATACAAATGTTCAAATAAGTGTGATTTTGATAAACATATTATTATCATAAGATAGTCAGTATGTCCTCCCAATAATCAAACTTGACAGTTGGAAGATACAGCAAGTCTTACCTGTTGCAGAAATAGAAGATGTGTTGACACTGAGAGAAAAATTGGAACTGGAAGAGGCAGTCACCAAAGTTCCAGCCACAGAAGTGGCATTTGGTAATGTATTCCCTTCATTGAATATCAGTTCAACATCTACCACCACAGATCCTTGACTGTAACACAAATATTTGTTTAAGTCATATTTTATGCCCTATTGTCCTATTGTATATGTTAGCAAACAAGTACAACAGGCATTTATAAAATGTAATGGCAAGCAATTGTTTTATACCTGAAGCTGTTGATGACAGTACGATTGAAGCTGGATCCATATTGTTCTGAATAGACCATGTCGAGCTGTGAATGAATTTAGTTGAAAAACATTAAATCATTTCAGAATAAATATGAAAGAAGACAATTATCATTTGAGATTTGTGCTTTTTAATAAATGTTCATGAGCAGCAAAGGATAGTGGAAGACGCAAAATCTGTAGAAATAATTAATATGAACTTACCACTGTAGTCACTTCGTTCTTTAATTCAAGGAACGCTGGTGAAGATTTGTTTGCAAGTTGAGGAGTAAAGGTTTGCTGAATCTTAAATTCCAACTTGATTTTTGACTCTGTTGTGGTAGGTGTTGGGGTTGTAGTTGCAGTTGGAGAGCTTGTAGTTGTGATGCTTGGTGGTGATGATGTTCCAGTGACAGGTGGAGTGCTTGCATTACCTTAACATTTATAAAATATTAATTGGAATTTAATATATCATTACAGCAAGACAAGTATTAACACATTTGGAAATTGAAGTCAGTGATAGAGGTCCAACGAAAAAAACATAAATTGTTGGTATATTTTTGGTGTATCTGTAATTCGAGCTACATAAATAGAATCATGATCATCATCATTGACTAGTGGTAAAATTATTTAAAGTTATTTTATTGGATTTTAAGTTATATTTTATTTGTTGAAGAGCATGAATTACCTACTAAAGCCATTATTGTGACTGACAAGTGAAGTAATGTTGACTGGTGATAAGGTGGGGTGGCCAGGATGTGTAGTGATGTTAACTGTTGTTGAAGAAATATTAATGTTGACTGTTGGGGAAGTAATGTTGACTGGTGGTGATGTCATGTGACTGGTGATGAGGTGGGGTTGACTGGTGATGTCATGTTGAATGGTGGTAAAGTAAAGTTGCCTGATGGGGAAATAATGTTGTCTGGTGCTGTCATGTTGATTTGTGATGAGGTGGGATTGACTGGTGATGTCATATTGACTGGTGTGTGAAGTAATGTTGGGAAGTGGTGATGTCATGTTGACTTGTATTGAGGTGGGGTTTACTGGCGAGGTCATATTACCTGGTGCTGAAGTAATGTCAACTGGTGATGATGAAGTCATGTTGACAGGTGCTGATGTCATGTTGACTGGTGATGAAGTGGGGCTGACTGGTGATGAAGTCATGTTTACTGGTGGTGAAGTAAAGTTGACTGGTGGTGGGGTGGGGTTGAATGTTGATGTCATGTTGACTGGTGGTGAGGTAATGTTAACTGGTGATGAAGTGGGGCTGACTGGTGATGTCATGTTGACTGGTGATGTGGTGGGGTTGACTGGTGATGTCATGTTGACTGGTAGTGAAGTAATGTTTGGTGGTGGCGATGTCATATTGACTGGTAATGAGGTGGGGTTGGCTGGTGATGTCATGTTGACTGGTGGTGATGTCATGTTGGGAAGTGGTGATGTCATGTTGACAGGTGATGAGGTGGGGTTGACTGGTGATGTCATGTTGACTGGTGGTGAAGTAAAGTTGACTGGTGGCGATGTCATGTTGACTGGTGATGAGGTGGGGTTGATTGGTGATGTCATGTTGACTGGTGATGTGGTGGGGTTGACTGGTGATGTCATGTTACCTGGTGCTGAAGTAATGTCAACTGGTGGTGATGAAGTCATGTTGACTGGTGCCGATGTCATGTTGACTGGTGATGAAGTGGGGCTGACTGGTGATGTCATGTTGACTGGTGATGTGGTGGGGTTGACTGGTGATGTGATGTTGACTGGTGGTGAAGTAAAGTTGACTTGTGGCGATGTCATGTTGACTGGTGATGAGGTGGGGTTGACTGGTGATGTCATGTTGACTGGTGGTGAAGTAAAGTTGACTGGTGGCGATGTCATGTTGACTGGTGATGAGGTGGGGTTGACTGGTGATGTCATGTTGACTAGTGGTGAAGTAATGTTTGGAAGTGGTGATGTCCTGTTGACTGGTGATGAAGTGGGATTGAATGGTGATGAGGTGAAGTTTACTGGAAGTGAGGTGATGTTGTGTAGTGGTGACGTCATGTTGACTGGTGATGAGGTGGGGTTGAACGGTGATGTCATATTTTCTGGTGGTGAAGTAAAGTTTACTGGTGGTGAAGTAATGTTGGCTGGTGATGATGTCATGTTAACTGGTGGTGATGTCATGTTGACTGAAGGTGAAGTTGGGTGGACTGGTGGTGAAGTAATGTTGAATGGTGATGTGGTTGGGTTGAAGGGTGATGTAATGTTGACTGGCGGTGATGTCATGTTGACTGATGGTGATGTCATGTTGACTGATGGTGAAGTTGGGTTGACTGAGGGTGAAGTAATGTTGACTGGTGGTGATGTTGGGTTGACTGGTGATGTAATGTTGACTGGTGGTGAAGTAATGTTGACTGATGGTGAGGTTGGGTTGACTGGTGATGTAATATTGACTGATGGTGAAGTAATGTTGGCTGGTGATGATGTCATGTTAACTGGTGGTGATGTCATGTTGACTGAAGGTGAAGTTGGGTGGACTGGTGGTGAAGTAATGTTGAATGGTGATGTGGTTGGGTTGAAGGGTGATGTAATGTTGACTGGTGGTGATGTCATGTTGACTGATGGTGAAGTTGGGTGGACTGGTGGTGATGTAATGTTGACTGGCGGTGATGTCATGTTGACTGATGGTGATGTCATGTTGACTGATGGTGATGTTGGGTTGACTGGTGATGTAATGTTGACTGGTGTTGATGTCATGTTGACTGGTGGTGATGTAATGTTGACTGGCGGTGATGTCATGTTGGCTGGTGTTGATGTCATGTTGACTAATGGTGAAGTTGGGTGGAGTGATGGTGAAGTAATGTTGGCTGGTGTTGATGTCATGTTGACTGGTGGTGATGTAATGTTGACTGATGGTGAAGTTGGGTTGACTAAGGGTGAAGTAATGGTGACTGGTGTTGATGTCATGTTGACTGGTGGTGAGGTGATGTTACCTGATGATGAGGTCATGTTGACTGGTGATGATGTCATGTTGACTGGTGATGATGTTGGGTTGACTGGTGATGATGTTGGGTTGACTGGTGATGAAGTCATGTTGACTGGAGGTGAGGTGATGTTGACAAGTGGTGTTGAAGGGGCAACTGTGGTTGGGGCTGGAGTTGCAGCTAAAACAACTACAAATACAAATGTTCAAATAAGTGTGATTTTGATAAACATATTATTATCATAAGATAGTCAGTATGTCCTCCCAATAATCAAACTTGACAGTTGGAAGATACAGCAAGTCTTACCTGTTGCAGAAATAGAAGATGTGTTGACACTGAGAGAAAAATTGGAACTGGAAGAGGCAGTCACCAAAGTTCCAGCCACAGAAGTGGCATTTGGTAATGTATTCCCTTCATTGAATATCAGTTCAACATCTACCACCACAGATCCTTGACTGTAACACAAATATTTGTTTAAGTCATATTTTATGCCCTATTGTCCTATTGTATATGTTAGCAAACAAGTACAACAGGCATTTATAAAATGTAATGGCAAGCAATTGTTTTATACCTGAAGCTGTTGATGACAGTACGATTGAAGCTGGATCCATATTGTTCTGAATAGACCATGTCGAGCTGTGAATGAATTTAGTTGAAAAACATTAAATCATTTCAGAATAAATATGAAAGAAGACAATTATCATTTGAGATTTGTGCTTTTTAATAAATGTTCATGAGCAGCAAAGGATAGTGGAAGACGCAAAATCTGTAGAAATAATTAATATGAACTTACCACTGTAGTCACTTCGTTCTTTAATTCAAGGAACGCTGGTGAAGATTTGTTTGCAAGTTGAGGAGTAAAGGTTTGCTGAATCTTAAATTCCAACTTGATTTTTGACTCTGTTGTGGTAGGTGTTGGGGTTGTAGTTGCAGTTGGAGAGCTTGTAGTTGTGATGCTTGGTGGTGATGATGTTCCAGTGACAGGTGGAGTGCTTGCATTACCTTAACATTTATAAAATATTAATTGGAAGTGAATATATCATTACAGCAAGACAAGTATTAACACATTTGGAAATTGAAGTCAGTGATAGAGGTCCAACGAAAAAACATAAATTGTTGGTATATTTTTGGTGTATCTGTAATTCGAGCTACATAAATAGAATCATGATCATCATCATTGACTAGTGGTAAAATTATTTAAAGTTATTTTATTGGATTTTAAGTTATATTGTATTTGTTGAAGAGCATGAATTACCTACTAAAGCCATTATTGTGACTGACAAGTGAAGTAATGTTGACTGGTGATAAGGTGGGGTGGCCAGGATGTGTAGTGATGTTAACTGTTGTTGAAGAAATATTAATGTTGACTGTTGGGGAAGTAATGTTGACTGGTGGTGATGTCATGTTGACTGGTGATGAGATGGGGTTGACTGGTGATGTCATGTTGAATGGTGGTAAAGTAAAGTTGCCTGATGGGGAAATAATGTTGTCTGGTGCTGTCATGTTGATTTGTGATGAGGTGGGATTGACTGGTGATGTCATATTGACTGGTGGTGAAGTAATGTTGGGAAGTGGTGATGTCATGTTGACTTGTATTGAGGTGGGGTTTACTGGCGAGGTCATATTACCTGGTGCTGAAGTAATGTCAACTGGTGATGATGAAGTCATGTTGACAGGTGCTGATGTCATGTTGACTGGTGATGAAGTGGGGCTGACTGGTGAAGTAACGTTTACTGGTGGTGAAGTAATGTTGAGTACTGATGATGTCATGTTTACTGGTAATGAGGTGGGATTAAATGGTGATGAAGTCATGTTTACTGGTGGTGAAGTAAAGTTGACTGGTGGTGGGGTGGGGTTGAATGTTGATGTCATGTTGACTGGTGGTGAGGTAATGTTGACTGGTGATAAGGTTGTTTTGAGTGGTGATGTCATGTTGATTTGTGATGAGGTGGGATTGGCTGTGGTTGAAGTAATGTTGACTTGTGGTGATGTCAAGTTGACTGATGGTGAAGTCAAGTTAACTGGTGATGAAGTGGGGCTGACTGGTGATGTCATGTTGACTGGTGATGTGGTGGGGTTGACTGGTGATGTCATGTTGACTGGTAGTGAAGTAATGTTTGGTGGTGGCGATGTCATATTGACTGGTAATGAGGTGGGGTTGGCTGGTGATGTCATGTTGACTGGTGGTGATGTCATGTTGGGAAGTGGTGATGTCATGTTGACAGGTGATGAGGTGGGGTTGACTGGTGATGTCATGTTGACTGGTGGTGAAGTAAAGTTGACTGGTGGCGATGTCATGTTGACTGGTAATGAGGTGGGGTTGACTGGTGATGTCATGTTGACTGGTGATGTGGTGGGGTTGACTGGTGATGTCATGTTACCTGGTGCTGAAGTAATGTCAACTGGTGGTGATGAAGTCATGTTGACTGGTGCCGATGTCATGTTGACTGGTGATGAAGTGGGGCTGACTGGTGATGTCATGTTGACTGGTGATGTGGTGGGGTTGACTGGTGATGTGATGTTGACTGGTGGTGAAGTAAAGTTGACTTGTGGCGATGTCATGTTGACTGGTGATGAGGTGGGGTTGACTTGTGATGTCATGTTGACTGGTGGTGAAGTAAAGTTGACTGGTGGCGATGTCATGTTGACTGGTGATGAGGTGGGGTTGACTGGTGATGTCATGTTGACTAGTGGTGAAGTAATGTTTGGAAGTGGTGATGTCCTGTTGACTGGTGATGAAGTGGGATTGAATGGTGATGAGGTGAAGTTTACTGGAAGTGAGGTGATGTTGTGTAGTGGTGACGTCATGTTGACTGGTGATGAGGTGGGGTTGAACGGTGATGTCATATTTTCTGGTGGTGAAGTAAAGTTTACTGGTGGTGAAGTAATGTTGGCTGGTGATGATGTCATGTTAACTGGTGGTGATGTCATGTTGACTGAAGGTGAAGTTGGGTGGACTGGTGGTGAAGTAATGTTGAATGGTGATGTGGTTGGGTTGAAGGGTGATGTAATGTTGACTGGCGGTGATGTCATGTTGACTGATGGTGATGTCATGTTGACTGATGGTGAAGTTGGGTTGACTGAGGGTGAAGTAATGTTGACTGGTGGTGATGTTGGGTTGACTGGTGATGTAATATTGACTGATGGTGAAGTAATGTTGGCTGGTGATGATGTCATGTTAACTGGTGGTGATGTCATGTTGACTGAAGGTGAAGTTGGGTGGACTGGTGGTGAAGTAATGTTGAATGTTGATGTGGTTGGGTTGAAGGGTGATGTAATGTTGACTGGTGGTGATGTCATGTTGACTGATGGTGAAGTTGGGTGGACTGGTGGTGATGTAATGTTGACTGGTGGTGATGTCATGTTGACTGATGGTGAAGTTGGGTGGACTGGTGGTGATGTAATGTTGACTGGCGGTGATGTCATGTTGACTGATGGTGATGTCATGTTGACTGATGGTGATGTTGGGTTGACTGGTGACGTAATGTTGACTGGTGTTGATGTCATGTTGACTGGTGGTGATGTAATGTTGACTGGCGGTGATGTCATGTTGGCTGGTGTTGATGTCATGTTGACTAATGGTGAAGTTGGGTAGAGTGATGGTGAAGTAATGTTGGCTGGTGTTGATGTCATGTTGACTGGTGGTGATGTAATGTTGACTGATGGTGAAGTTGGGTTGACTAAGGATGAAGTAATGGTGACTGGTGTTGATGTCATGTTGACTGGTGGTGAGGTGATGTTACCTGATGATGAGGTCATGTTGACTGGTGATGATGTCATGTTGACTGGTGATGATGTTGGGTTGACTGGTGATGATGTTGGGTTGACTGGTGATGAAGTCATGTTGACTGGAGGTGAGGTGATGTTGACAAGTGGTGTTGAAGGGGCAACTGTGGTTGGGGCTGGAGTTGCAGCTAAAACAACTACAAATACAAATGTTCAAATAAGTGTGATTTTGATAAACATATTATTATCATAAGATAGTCAGTATGTCCTCCCAATAATCAAACTTGACAGTTGGAAGATACAGCAAGTCTTACCTGTTGCAGAAATAGAAGATGTGTTGACACTGAGAGAAAAATTGGAACTGGAAGAGGCAGTCACCAAAGTTCCAGCCACAGAAGTGGCATTTGGTAATGTATTCCCTTCATTGAATATCAGTTCAACATCTACCACCACAGATCCTTGACTGTAACACAAATATTTGTTTAAGTCATATTTTATGCCCTATTGTCCTATTGTATATGTTAGCAAACAAGTACAACAGGCATTTATAAAATGTAATGGCAAGCAATTGTTTTATACCTGAAGCTGTTGATGACAGTACGATTGAAGCTGGATCCATATTGTTCTGAATAGACCATGTCGAGCTGTGAATGAATTTAGTTGAAAAACATTAAATCATTTCAGAATAAATATGAAAGAAGATGATTATCATTTGAGATTTGTGCTTTTTAATAAATGTTCATGAGCAGCAAAGGATAGTGGAAGACGCAAAATCTGTAGAAATAATGAATATGAACTTACCACTGTAGTCACTTCGTTCTTTAATTCAAGGAACGCTGGTGAAGATTTGTTTGCAAGTTGAGGAGTAAAGGTTTGCTGAATCTTAAATTCCAACTTGATTTTTGACTCTGTTGTGGTAGGTGTTGGGGTTGTAGTTGCAGTTGGAGAGCTTGTAGTTGTGATGCTTGGTGGTGATGATGTTCCAGTGACAGGTGGAGTGCTTGCATTACCTTAACATTTATAAAATATTAATTGGAAGTGAATATATCATTACAGCAAGACAAGTATTAACACATTTGGAAATTGAAGTCAGTGATAGAGGTCCAACGAAAAAACATAAATTGTTGGTATATTTTTGGTGTATCTGTAATTCGAGCTACATAAATAGAATCATGATCATCATCATTGACTAGTGGTAAAATTATTTAAAGTTATTTTATTGGATTTTAAGTTATATTTTATTTGTTGAAGAGCATGAATTACCTATTAAAGCCATTATTGTGACTGACAAGTGAAGTAATGTTGACTGGTGATAAGGTGGGGTGGCCAGGATGTGTAGTGATGTTAACTGTTGTTGAAGAAATATTAATGTTGACTGTTGGGGAAGTAATGTTGACTGGTGGTGATGTCATGTTGACTGGTGATGAGGTGGGGTTGACTGGTGGTGAAGTAATGATAATTGGTGATGATGTGGGGTTCAATGGTGATGTAATGTTGACAGGTGGTGAAGTAATGTTGACTGGTGATGAGGTGGGGTTGAACGGTGATGTCATGTTTTCTGGTGGTGAAGTAAAGTTTACTGGTGGTGAAGTAATGTTGAGTAGTGATGATGTCATGTTGACAGGTGATGAGGTTGGTCTGAGTGCAGATGTCATGTTAATTTGTGATGAGGTGGGAATAAATGGTGGTGAAGTCATGTTTACTTGTGGTGAGGTGGGGTTGAATGTCGATGTCATGTTGACTGGTGGTGAAGTAATGTTGAGAAGTGGTGATGTCATGTTGATTGGTGATGAGGTCGGGTTGACAGGTGATGTCATGTTGAATGGTGGTAAAGTAAAGTTGCCTGATGGGGAAATAATGTTGTCTGGTGCTGTCATGTTGATTTGTGATGAGGTGGGATTGACTGGTGATGTCATATTGACTGGTGGTGAAGTAATGTTGGGAAGTGGTGATGTCATGTTGACTTGTATTGAGGTGGGGTTTACTGGCGAGGTCATATTACCTGGTGCTGAAGTAATGTCAACTGGTGATGATGAAGTCATGTTGACAGGTGCTGATGTCATGTTGACTGGTGATGAAGTGGGGCTGACTGGTGAAGTAACGTTTACTGGTGGTGAAGTAATGTTGAGTAGTGATGATGTCATGTTGACTGGTGATGAGGTGGGGTTGACTGGTGATGTCATGTTGACTGGTGATGTGGTGGGGTTGACTGGTGATGTCATGTTGACTGGTGATGAAGTGGGGCTGACTGGTGATGTCATGTTGACTGGTGGTAAAGTAAAGTTAACTGTTGGTGATGTCAAGTTTTCTGGTGGTGAAGTAACGTTTACTGGTGGTGAAGTAATGTTGAGTACTGATGATGTCATGTTTACTGGTAATGAGGTGGGATTAAATGGTGATGAAGTCATGTTTACTGGTGGTGAAGTAAAGTTGACTGGTGGTGGGGTGGGATTGAATGTTGATGTCATGTTGACTGGTGGTGAGGTAATGTTGACTGGTGATGAGGTTGTTTTGAGTGGTGATGTCATGTTGATTTGTGATGAGGTGGGATTGGCTGTGGTTGATGTAATGTTGACTGGTGGGGATGTCAAGTTGACTGATGGTGAAGTCAAGTTAACTGATAATGAGGTTGGGTTGACTGTTGATGTCATGTTGACTGGTGATGAGGTGGGGTTGACTGGTGATGTCATGTTGACTGGTGATGTGGTGGGGTTGACTGGTGATGTCATGTTACCTGGTGCTGAAGTAATGTCAACTGGTGGTGATGAAGTCATGTTGACTGGTGCCGATGTCATGTTGACTGGTGATGAAGTGGGGCTGACTGGTGATGTCATGTTGACTGGTGATGTGGTGGGGCTGACTGGTGATGTCATGTTGACTGGTGATGAAGTGGGGCTGACTGGTGATGTCATGTTGACTGGTGGTAAAGTAAAGTTAACTGTTGGTGATGTCAAGTTTTCTGGTGGTGAAGTAACGTTTACTGGTGGTGAAGTAATGTTGAGTACTGATGATGTCATGTTTACTGGTAATGAGGTGGGATTAAATGGTGATGAAGTCATGTTTACTGGTGGTGAAGTAAAGTTGACTGGTGGTGGGGTGGGATTGAATGTTGATGTCATGTTGACTGGTGGTGAGGTAATGTTGACTGGTGATGAGGTTGTTTTGAGTGGTGATGTCATGTTGATTTGTGATGAGGTGGGATTGGCTGTGGTTGATGTAATGTTGACTGGTGGGGATGTCAAGTTGACTGATGGTGAAGTCAAGTTAACTGATAATGAGGTTGGGTTGACTGTTGATGTCATGTTGACTGGTGATGAGGTGGGGTTGACTGGTGATGTCATGTTGACTGGTGATGTGGTGGGGTTGACTGGTGATGTCATGTTACCTGGTGCTGAAGTAATGTCAACTGGTGGTGATGAAGTCATGTTGACTGGTGCCGATGTCATGTTGACTGGTGATGAAGTGGGGCTGACTGGTGATGTCATGTTGACTGGTGATGTGGTGGGGTTGACTGGTGATGTCATGTTGACTGGTGGTGATGTCATGTTGACTGGTGATGAGGTGGGATTGAATGGTGATGAGGTGAAGTTTACTGGAAGTGTGGTGATGTTGTGTAGTGGTGACGTCATGTTGACTGGTGATGAGGTGGGGTTGAACGGTGATGTAACGTTTACTGGTGGTGAAGTAATGTTGAGTACTGATGATGTCATGTTTACTGGTAATGAGGTGGGATTAAATGGTGATGAAGTCATGTTTACTGGTGGTGAAGTAAAGTTGACTGGTGGTGGGGTGGGGTTGAATGTTGATGTCATGTTGACTGGTGGTGAGGTAATGTTGACAGGTGATGAGGTTGTTTTGAGTGGTGATGTCATGTTGATATGTGATGAGGTGGGATTGGCTGTGGTTGAAGTAATGTTGACTTGTGGTGATGTCAAGTTGACTGATGGTGAAGTCAAGTTAACTGGTGATGAAGTGGGGCTGACTGGTGATGTCATGTTGACTGGTGATGAAGTGGGGCTGACTGGTGATGTCATGTTGACTGGTGATGTGGTGGGGTTGACTGGTGATGTCATGTTGACTGGTGGTGAAGTAAAGTTGACTGGTAGCGATGTCATATTGACTGGTAATGAGGTGGGGTTGACTGGTGATGTCATGTTGACTGGTGGTGAAGTAAAGTTGACTGGTGGCGATGTCATGTTGACTGGTGATGAGGTGGGGTTGACTGGTGATGTCATGTTGACTAGTGGTGAAGTAATGTTTGGAAGTGGTGATGTCCTGTTGACTGGTGATGAAGTGGGATTGAATGGTGATGAGGTGAAGTTTACTGGAAGTGAGGTGATGTTGTGTAGTGGTGACGTCATGTTGACTGGTGATGAGGTGGGGTTGAACGGTGATGTCATATTTTCTGGTGGTGAAGTAATATTTCGAAGTGGTGATGTCATGTTGACTGGTAATGAGGTGGGGCTGGCTGGTGATGTCATGTTGACTGGTGGTGATGTCATGTTGGGAAGTGGTGATGTCATGTTGACTGGTGATGAGGTGGGGTTGACTGGTGATGTCATGTTGACTGGTGGCGAAGTAAAGTTGACTGGTGGCGATGTCATGTTGACTGGTGATGTCATGTTGACTGGTGGTGAAGTAAAGTTGACTGGTGGCGATGTCATGTTGACTGGTGATGAGGTGGGATTGAATGGTGATGAAGTGAATGTTACTGGAAGTGAGGTGATGTTGAGTGGTGGTGACGTCATGTTGACTGGTGATGAAGTGGGGTTGACTGGTGATGTCATGTTGACTGGTGGTGAAGTAATGTTTGGTGGTGGCGATGTAATGTTGACTGCTGATGAGGTGGGGTTGACTGGTGATGTCATGTTGACTGGTGGTGAAGTAATGTTTGGAAGTGGTGATGTCATGTTGACTGGTGATGAGGTTGGGTTGACTGTTGATGTCATGTTGACCGGTGGTGAAGTAAAGTTGACTGGTGGCGATGTCATATTGACTGCTGATGAGGTGGGGTTGACTGGTGGTAAAGTAAAGTTGACTGGTGGCGATGTCATGTTGACTGGTGATGAGGTGGGGTTGACTGGTGATGAAGTGAATGTTACTGGAAGTGAGGTGATGTTGAGTGGTGGTGATGTAATGTTGACTGCTGATGAGGTGGGGTTGACTGGTGATGTCATGTTGACTGGTGGTGAAGTAATGTTTGGAAGTGGTGATGTCATGTTGAGAGGTAATGAGGTGGGGTTGACTGGTGATGTCATGTTGACTGGTGGTGAAGTAATGTTGGAAAGTGGTGATGTCATGTTGACTGGTGATGAGGTGGGGTTGGCTGGTGATGTCATGTTGACTGGTGGTGATGTCATGTTGGGAAGTGGTGATGTCATGTTGACTGGTGATGTCATGTTGACTGGTGGTGAAGTAAGGTTGACTGGTGATGAGGTGGGGTTGACTGGTGATGTCATGTTGACTGGTGGTGAAGTAATGTTTGGAAGTGGTGATGTCATGTTGACAGGTAATGAGGTGGGGTTGACTGGTGATGTCATGTTGACTGGTGGTGAAGTAATGTTGGAAAGTGGTGATGTCATGTTGACTGGTGATGAGGTGAAGTTTACTGGAAGTGAGGTGATGTTGAGTGGTGGTGACGTCATGTTGACTGGTGATGAGGTGGGGTTGACTGGTGATGTCATGTTGACTGGTGGTGAAGTAAAGTTGACTGGTGTAGAAGTTATGTTGAGAGGTGATGATGTCATGTTGACTGGTGATGAGTTGGGATTGATTTGTGGTGAAGTCATGATGACTGATGTTGATGTCATGTTTACTGGTGTTGAAGTAATATTCACTTGTGATGAGGTGGGGTTTACTGGTGAGGTCATATTACCTGGTGTTGAAGTAATGTTGACTGGTGTTGATGAAGTCATGTTGACTGGTTTTGAGGTTGGGTTGACTGTTGAGGTCATGTTGAAGTGTGGGGAAGTCATATTCAGTGGTGGTGACGTCATGTTGACAGTTGGAGAGGTTGGATTGACTGTTGGGGAAGTCATGTTGACTGTTAGTGACGTCACATTGATTGGTGGTGAAGTCATGTTGATTGGCGAAGTGGCATTCACTGTAAGGTAAGGTGAAGGTAAGGTTGCATGAAATACAATTAAATGGCACTGTTATTTGTGTTTGAGGGACAAGTTGCTTTACCTGGAGACATTGTGGTGATTGGTGGATTTGAGGTTCCATTGCCTGGTGTGGATGTTAGGTTGACCAGTAATGTGGTTGAGTCAACTGCAAAAGAAAAGGTTCATGAGAAAAATTAAAGTAACACATGATAATTAATTGTTCAATTGTTGTATAAGTCCAGTCATGCTTTTTTATTCCTCCAAAGGTTGCTTTAGGGTTGATCCCTGGTTGATCCTTATAAATCACTGATACAATCAAATGTACAAGGAATAAAACACCTTTATTCGGCAGATCAACCTAAATCTTTTATTAGAAGTCATAAAACATATTTAATAATCAAAGCCTATGGCTAAGTTAATAACTCGATATTTTACACTTGATGATAGTTCAATAAGGATACCTGCCAGCACATATTGTGTGCTCATTCATTGCTGTTGTCTTAAAAGAATGTACAGAAGTATCATAATGTTACCTGTTGTTGCACTAGCGGTTGAGGCCGATGTTGTTCTCACCTCTCCTGTAAAGAAAATGTCACAATGATCCAACTTAATTCAGTCCGATTCAAAGTAATTTGACATTTCAATTAAATTAAATTGTCCCTTAATCTCCCCCCCACTTCCCTCCCCTCTTTCTCTCTTTCTCACACACACAAACACACATACATTCAAATAAATACCTGCACATAAGAGAAGGAATATAAGAAGAATCATCTTCTCTTTTTCCCGTTCCTGTGAAATAAAAGAAAAAAATATATATATTTTAATGTGCAAAATGTGTCCTTCTAATTTACACTGTTAATTGTCAAAACAGCTCCACAGTTAATCCTACCATCACATGTTTCATGCTTAAAGACGGGTTATTCAACTGAATGACCGGTTTGAGGTTATAGTTTAAGGTATTTGTAATATTTTGTTGCTCCCATTGATATCTATTAGGATGCAACATTTAAGAAACACCACTATATTTAACTAAATGCAATTCAACAGAAACGTAAAAGTATATCCTTTAAAATCACTTTCATTAAGAGCTTATTAATGTTTTGTATGAAAATGTTTGTAAAACATCTATAAACATCACAAAAATAGATGGAAAATACACCAATTATTAACAATTTACACATTTCTAGCTATCTATCTTGTCAATGGTTCATTACAAGTAATTTATTAGCCATTTTCGGGGTATTATTATCATCAGGTGAAACTTTATAATAGCAATTATGTTACAAATTGTTACAAATTTGATCCATCTATCTATGTTATTATTTTAGATGTTTTATACAAATGTTGTTCTCAAGGTTTACAAATCCTTTGGGAATAATAATTCACACATATTTAATCTTGTACATAAGTAATTAGTACAGAAATTCCCAATTAAAAAAATTAATTATAGTATTTATAATAAACATTATTCATTATCATTTAATTGTTATGTAAATGTGAATTAACTATTAGCTATCTTCGTTAAATATGTTATGTTAAATGATATATTAATTATTTATTTATTAATGATAGTTATGACAAGGTCGTATCCCTTATAAACTACCATTGAATCATATGATGTATAGCAACTTAAAAGTAACAATAAAAGTGCTTTTGACTATGATTTTCTACCCTAGTCCTCTGTGTGCCAATGCATTGATTATAAACTCTACCTCGCAATTTAGCAGATGCTTGAATGACTGTGAAAATTGTGAGTTGTTAAACAAGCAGAATCTGGTGTGCCAACATTGTTGAGTGACGCGTTTCAGTAACTTTCTTATATTTCACATCGTCAGATGGTGTAGCACCTGCCAGGCTATTCAAGTGTCTATAATGGTGTATGTAGGTGTATGCTCTGCCAACAAGACTACTGAATAATTAAAAAAAATATATGTATTTTATCAAACATATAATGGCCTAGGTAAATGATCTTATCCAAATTTGATTGTGATCTGGACTCTGATTCTTACACCAAAGGGCTTTAACATTTTATTAAAATCTTATATTGAACATTCATATTTAACAGAAAAACAATTGTATCAACCTTTCAGCCCAGGATTCATTAGTGTCTGTGAGAAACCTGATTTGTTGATTTGAAGTTATTCGAATATCAGAATACATACTTTATTATGTAACCATTTGGTTATTTTCCATCAGAAATAGTGATCTATATTTGTTAAATAAAAGCAACAACAGTTCAATTAATTGAAATTCCTACTCGACAAACGTGTTTATAGCACGGTCCCACCCTGACAAGCCAAGCATTGCAATCCATTATGTTAATTATATTGTTGAATTATTATTTAACCTTTCCAGCCTTCAGAATAACATGCATTACACGTAATAATGCTTTGTTTGTCAGGATTTTTTTTGTTATTAAAAATAATGAAAATCAAAGGTGTGTCTTAGCAAATACCTGAATAGTAAGAGTCCATAGAAATGTGCAACTTAAAAGCAGTACACATATTAAAGGAAAAGTGTAGATTGTGAATTAAAGTTAGAAATCATTTGATGCATTTCTGAGCCCAAATGGAAGTTATTCATTCAAAACAGTTTAATTCTAATTCAAAAAAACTTGTACAGAAAAACCAGCAATTCAAATGTTTTACCTAGGCATTTATGTTTTAGTCATCATTATACCAAATTGCATACTATGTGGTTTAGTGACAGCCTATTTTAAAATAAAGTGTTAACAGATATTGATCATGGTTGATTTCTTTAAAGGTTGAAATGTATAAAACATGAACGTGAATATTCTTACCTCGTTGGAGTTCCAAGTCCAATTGTGCAGCAATATTGTTAAATTTGCAGCAGTTCAATCAATGGTAGAAACTGACACAAAGAAGACACAACACACCTTGAAGATGTGAAGATGGAAGTGAACACTTGTCAGTGAGTGAGGGCATTCTGAGAGAGACCAGACATTCTTCTTTGTAAACGCTTAACTTGCAGGACTTGTTCTGCTTTGTTATTAAAAAGAATGAAGTTGGTCCTGCGGCACAAGGTAAAAGTTAGAGGGGGAGGAGGGTTGGTGGAAGTAGAGATGAGAGATGAGACAATGCTGTCAGTGTAAAGGAAGAATCTTTGCTATTTTCAAACCAAGGTGTCACAATAGTCTCAACCACTGGTGCCAAAACACTACTCATTAACTCTTGCAAAGCGCAGAGCTGCAAAATTGATTTGTCGGGAATTGTAACAACATCATTGTATACAACAAAACAAACTCTTTATAAACCTTCATCACTTATCTGCATAATGACCATGCATTAACCGTCTCATTCAAAAAAGAATTTCTCAGTTTGAAAGATGGCTTTACTCTTTACTCTAATGCGTCTATTACTGCGTTGAAGTGATGCTTGTCGGCTGCTATTTTCATGTTATTTCCTTGTTTTCTCTAACTGAATTCAAAAGTCAGCACAGTCCTTGTTTAGACTGTGCACTAGGTAAACCCACAAATTAACCCATTACCTACTCCCTTTGCTCTTTATTACCGGAATCAAACATGTATGTCACTGTAATTCATATAGTGTGCTTTTTTATGTAAGTGGTAAAGTATAATTATCCAACTAATTCTGTGATTACTATATTTAAAAAGAGCTACCAATCCATTTGACACATACAATACTTAACTTGACACAAAAGACCTACATAAACAAAACTAATTTTAGGTACAGCTTCTTTGACAAATGCTCCTGCAAAAATGTGACGTGGTATCACCACACTGTCATACCTGCCATGATGTAAAAGATGACCAAAGGCCAACAGCATATGAAACAGGGTTAACAACAATTTACACTTTTAACCTTTATTATGTTGTATTTTAAGTCCTTGTCAATGTTATTTGAAGAGATGCATTCTTTCATCTCGTGACAAAAGAGATCCGCCCAACTAACTTCATGCCAGAGATAGTCTGAGATCATCTGTAAAAAACAATCTCACATTTTTCGAAGCAGACACTTATTGACTTACATCAGGGAATTTACAAGTATAACTAATGGCAACAATGATGGTTTGATTAAATTAACTAGAAGCCCCTGGTTTGTGGTATCCGACTCAGAATCAGTCAACAAAAACACTAAGTTACGCACAGCTTAACTTATACACACATATTTACAGAGTTGTGCACTGTGCAGGCATTTTAAAACATTAATGGATCATATTTTTAGTTAGTTTTAAACTACTGCATGCTAAATGCTTGACCTTGGCAATAGCTGTCACAAAATAATCCAAACTCAAGGTCCTTTAACTTGCTTTTTTAAGAGATTTTGGAAAAAGTATTTGTCAGTGAGGTGTGTAAGTAGACTAAATAGAAAGTACTAAAGAGTATTTAACAACAACCAATACATGAATTGGTGGAAATAAGTAAAAATGACGTTGCCAAATGATCAGGATCACTTTCCCTCACCACACATCTGCAACGTTGGACTTAATGATGACTACATCTTGCTTAAGGCCTTTTTCACCTTGGTGCAGTACCATGTTTTCTTAGTTTTGTATTCATTTCATTATTTATTAGTGGAAGTTAAACCGTCATGTTTAAGGCTCCCTACTACCCTTTCACCCATTTTCATCAAAGCTGGAAAGCTGCTGACAGCTGTATATAAATACTAATAAAAACGTGATGAATAGTTATATTAAACCAACAAATATATATAAAAAAATAAAATAAAGGGGGGAATAAGTTAGGAAGATGCAAGCAAATAATTTGCCCCAGTTCATACCTGATATGTTTCAGTTTTAAAGACATTACATCCTGAAACCTGTGCGAGATGGATGATGACTACAGTCATGAGGGTCCCCAAACATTGCACTAAAATGGCAGTTTTTAAGTTTAATTGTTTATTCAGGATATAGTCTCAACATGTGATTTCAGTGACTGTACCCTTTTTACCCCTCCTCTCTGGATTTTATGCCAAGATCGTTTATTGTATTTTTCTTGAAAAATGTAATAAGAGCTGACAGTAGATCTTAATGACTTCTGTCGAGGTTTCAGGCCGAGAAGATCTTTCCCGGGCTTTTCAGTGACCACAAAAGGGGTGATTTGGAAAAAGAAAGAATCACACAATGTCAGACCTGAAATTCTGAAAAGTTATTCAAAGTTTTTTCAGTGGAAAACTTTGAATAACTGCAGAAGAAAATACCACTTTTTAATCCTCTCTTTGTTACAGACATAAAACAGGAAGTACATAATGTCAAGAGTATTTATCTTGTTTTTGTCAAAAATAGTGAAAATATATAATCTTTGTTTCCTGTGTGTGCAATGTATTGCTGTTAGAGAAAGGCATAATTTGGTATACCTTTAATGCACACATTCTATAGCCTCTATGGTTTAGTATCGAGTAACTTGGCAATATTTTTTCTAAGAGACCGTAATGTCACGTGCATGGGTATTTCCGAGCATAACACCAGCAAATGGGATGTTCTGTTCCTGGCATGAGGATATCATGTGACAGTGAACAGGTTCAACTGCATTGTCAGACCTCTGACAATAAATGCCATTGACTGTTTATGTATTCCCTTTTTGAAAAGGTTTGTGTATATACTGGCTAGGCTGAAAAAAAGAAAAAAGATCACAGCAAAACACACCCAATGTGTAATAGATCTAAATGCAAAAAGATGGAAAATAAAATTACATCTGTTTGAATCAAATATTTACTAACTATATTCTTGATAGTTTGTTTGGGTCCCTCACTTCCGTTTCGCTTCTCATGCACTGATTCGCTAGCTGAACAGACAATCAGAGTGCACATGCACAAGGATTATCATGTTAGATACAAAAAGGTTGCATTACACCCCTTAAACCCAAAAGGGCTTTGTTTGTAGTAAATCCTTAACTTTGACGATCATTGTTAACTATCTCATCTGTCTCTTATCTTCTGTAGGAGAGCAATTTCTAAGGCTAGATATTTAAGTGTCCTCTTCCTCCTCTGAGCAGAGATTTAGACATTGAAAGTCCAGGTCTAAAAGGATTATTAACTAATCCACAAAAACTGTTAAATGCTCACTATGTCCTGATGATTAGTTTTCCATTCTACTGAGGGCTGACGATGATGGTTTGAGTGATGGCATACTCTAGTTTTTTTTCTAGTGTATTCATGATTATTTTTTTGTGTTATGTCTTTAGGTGTTCTGTTTCTGCAAGACCAACTTCGCCTTGGGGACAAATATCCATTATATTCAAAACCTAATACAAAAATAAACACAAACACAACATTTGAAAATAATGTTTATAAAGGCAACACACATTTTATCTTATGTTTCAGTTTTAAAGACATTACATCCTGAAACCTGTGCGAGATGGATGATGACTACAGTCATGAGGGTCCCCAAACATTGCACTAAAATGGCAGTTTTTAAGTTTAATTGTTTATTCAGGATATAGTCTCAACATGTGATTTCAGTGACTGGACCCTTTTTACCCCTCCTCTCTGGATTTTATGCCAAGATCGTTTATTGTATTTTTCTTGAAAAATGTTGCAAGTAATAAGAGCTGACAGTAGATCTTAATGACTTCTGTCGAGGTTTCAGGCCGAGAAGATCTTTCCCGGGCTTTTCAGTGACCACAAAAGGGGTGATTTGGAAAAAGAAAGAATCACACAATGTCAGACCTGAAATTCTGAAAAGTTATTCAAAGTTTTTTCAGTGGAAAACTTTGAATAACTGCAGAAGAAAAGACATAAAACAGGAAGTACATAATGTCAAGAGTATTTATCTTGTTTTCGTCAAAAATAGTGAAAATATATAATCTTTGTTTCCTGTGTGTGCAATGTATTGCTGTTAGAGAAAGGCATAATTTGGTATACCTTTAATGCACACATTCTATAGCCTCTATGGTTTAGTATCGAGTAACTTGGCAATATTTTTTCTAAGAGACCGTAATGTCACGTGCATGGGTATTTCCGAGCATAACACCAGCAAATGGGATGTTCTGTTCCTGGCATGAGGATATCATGTGACAGTGAACAGGTTCAACTGCATTGTCAGACCTCTGACAATAAATGCCATTGACTGTTTATGTATTCCCTTTTTGAAAAGGTTTGTGTATATACTGGCTAGGCTGAAAAAAAGAAAAAAGATCACAGCAAAACACACCCAATGTGTAATAGATCTAAATGCAAAAAGATGGAAAATAAAATTACATCTGTTTGAATCAAATATTTACTAACTATATTCTTGATAGTTTGTTTGGGTCCCTCACTTCCGTTTCGCTTCTCATGCACTGATTCGCTAGCTGAACAGCCAATCAGAGTGCACATGCACAAGGATTATCATGTTAGATACAAAAAGGTTGCATTACACCCCTTAAACCCAAAAGGGCTTTGTTTGTAGTAAATCCTTAACTTTGACGATCATTGTTAACTATCTCATCTGTCTCTTATCTTCTGTAGGAGAGCAATTTCTAAGGCTAGATATTTAAGTGTCCTCTTCCTCCTCTGAGCAGAGATTTAGACATTGAAAGTCCAGGTCTAAAAGGATTATTAACTAATCCACAAAAACTGTTAAATGCTCACTATGTCCTGATGATTAGTTTTCCATTCTACTGAGGGCTGACGATGATGGTTTGAGTGATGGCATACTCTAGTTTTTTTTCTAGTGTATTCATGATTATTTTTTTGTGTTATGTCTTTAGGTGTTCCGTTTCTGCAAGACCAACTTCGCCTTGGGGACAAATATCCATTATATTCAAAACCTAATACAAAAATAAACACAAACACAACATTTGAAAATAATGTTTATAAAGGCAACACACATTTTATCTTAAGTTTTTGCATGAAAAAAATATAAACAACACAAAAAGATTAAAAAAACATTGATTAGATTTGCCAACTTCTCTGCTGTCACATTCCAACCATAACAAACTTCACATAGCCTGTTTTACAAATGTTAATGTTTTAAAGGTGGTCTTGATTTGTGAAGATTATCTTGCCAAAATCCAATGAAAAAAATCCCTCTTTGCTTTATATTGAGGGAACCAGTGTGATCATCAATCATCAATGTGGTCATCGTCAGTGTTGGCCAATAAAAAATGGTCAGGACTCTATGCACATAGGGATTCCCACCATAAGTCTGGTTAATTCTTTGCTCTAGCGAGGAGGAAAGCCCCTATGTGGCCCTCCCCGACCCCTGAACCCTCCCCTGTCTCCTCGGAAATTTGGCCGGTTTCTTTCACGGCCCCTGTCTCCGCCTCTTCCTGAATTTGGCCCACCACGTCCCCCTCTAGCTGCTCCGCCCCCACGGTCCGACTTCATCTTAGAAGGGGGAGATTTAGGTCGCAGCCTCTCTATTTCCTCAGTGCAGCCAGATAGGTTGTCATTGACGAAATGTGAGGCGTAGGTCTCTGGGTTAAAGTTACTGTTTGTCAAAGTAGGACCTACAGTCAGCCAGCCTAAAAAGAGAAAAAAACACAAATGCAATAAGAAACTTAAAGCAAACATACAAGCAGATATTACCAAAGAAAGAAAAGTGGCTCAATCTCACCTGGCCTGATGGTTGAGTCTCGTCCAAACAGGTGCAACCTTCTGCGGCCCAAACAGAAATGCTCAATGATATGGAAGATCTCCACAGGCTTCTCAACATTTCCCATCTCAGGCTCCTCAGTGATGATCAAGTCAATGTCCACATTCGCATGGATGAAGTCACCGTCAGTGCTCCTGCGCACTGTTCCTTTGATTCCCATCAGGCAGTGTTCCTGGAGGGAGGATATTGTTTTCAGAATCAGAAATCCATTATTCGTCCCACAGAGGGAAAATGGTTCGTGTTACAGAAGCAAGGGACAGTGCATATGAAAAGGTACAAAAATAGTAGTCTAACATATTAAGTATGAGTACGATAGATAGATAGATAGATATATAGATAGATATATAGATAGATAGATATATAGATAGATAAGTACTTTATTGATCCCAATTTGGGAAATGTTTGCGTTGCAGCAGCATAAAAAACACAAGGCATAAGAGAAATTAAGACACTAGAAATAAACAGTCCAAAATATTTCTGAAATAGAAATAAAATAGCATTAAAAGGTTAAAAAAATATATACATGTGGAAAATATACATGAGGAAATAAACATTTCCAGTAACAAATATATCATAAAATATAATTAAAACGGGTTTAAATTGGAATTCATCATGGACTTCGTATGATCCCAAAGCAATTAGATGATGTTATATTTACATTAACATATATTTCACATTGCTGTACCTTGGTCCTCTGGAATACTGCCTTCGGGTCCAGCGCCTTGGTTTTGCCTGGGTTGTTCTTATTGGTCTTGATCCAACAGATGTCCTCACACCGCCTAAAGCCCCACTTCCTCAAACACTGAAATGGTTGGAATAAAGGAAGGTATTATGTTAAACTATGTGTAACAACAATGCTGAGGGTCATGCAATACCTTTGAAAATTACTGTATCTTAGGCTATTGACATAATCAATATGTTATTGACACAATGCATCCCCGGCACACTAATAAAACATGTTTCAAACAACAATCTGGTTTCCAAACTGATGAAACGTGCATTAACTAGGCTCCATTTCAACATGCCTCGGAGACTTCCCCTCTGCATTAGCCCTGGGTGGTATCCCTGCAGACTAAGTGTTGTTCTCAGTTGTTTGAAAACTGAACTGAACTTGGTGAAATTGATACTTTGAAGGGTTGAGGGGTTAAGTGAACAAAAATTGTAACTTAGGGGGTGTATATCACCCAAAATGCAAAACTAACATCTGTGGCTAGATGGCAGTAATGCATGGAAGACTCTGGTTGCTTACCATTGTAGAACAATTTAAATCAAATCAAATAAATTCACTATCTGACATGCTTATTAGGTTCACTCTCCTAGATAATTATTAAGAGAATGTCATTGATAAGTTGATATTCTATTGAAAAAATGCCAGATAAAATATAACTAGTTAATATTTTCTTATTCTCCTGTTGACGTTGTGTGATTCATTTATTTCCTTCATTATCTGTGAATGCAAAGACAAATTGTTGTTTTGCAAGACATCAAAAAACCTGTATAAGTATAGCTACTGTTTGATAATCATCAAACTGAGGCAGCTTATTACGTTGGGTATTGCAATTATTCAAAGACGACACCCTTGCCGCATTGAAATGAGTCTACAGGTATCTCATGATCTGTAAAAAGCTGAGCCAACACCTCAACACTTCTTTTCACCTACACATTCCCAAAATGGATCCATATCATGTATGTGATGTAATAACAATGAGGGTGAATGTTGGGAAGTGGAATTACTAATGAAAAGCAGCCTTTCTCTATGATACTTAAGCAATAATGAAGATTCTGAATAATCTGCAAAAAACGGTTTTGTCTTTATTCCTGGTCTGGCTTGTTGAAATGTTCAATATTCGGTTTAATGACCCTTTGCATTTGTCTGTTTGACAGACGATGGGGAAAAGTCATATTTATACAAATATAACAATAGTCTTTATATGAATCACAGTTGTGGAAAAAACAGGTGCTGGTCAAACATTCCTACTGAGGTAAAAACGACAAGAAAATCTATTTCAGGCAAAGTAAGCCATGCAGTGATGCTGTGTTGTTGGCAAGCACACTAGGGGCATGCGTAACACCAACAATGAACATACAGCAAAGTAAATATGACCGTCTTAAAGTCGGGTGCACGTAATCTGGTGTGAACAGACGAACATGGTTTAACAGCTAGTGTCATTCCATTGCACACATAGTTGCCTAATTCAGTTGTCAGGTGCACACTAGACCAGCAAGTTCCCGAATGATTGGAATAATGCAATGTTAATAACCTGCATGCCGTAAGTTGTAACACTTTGTGAAAAGGGCATATAAGAAATGAGTGATCATGTTACCATTCTGCCCATGTCCAGGCCTTCACCAGAGCCACACCAGAGAAAGACAAAGGAACGAAGATCTGATATCTCCTCAATTTCCAGTTTCATGATCTACAACAGCAGAGAAGAGGAAAGAGAGGTGAGGGAACACAATGCCATAATTATCCATCCAGTGGATATTTAAATCACAAATTACTTTAACACTTCCTTTCCCTGAGGAAGTCCTGTCATGAGAGAACATTTAGCCCTGAAATCTGCTCATTGGCAGGGTCCTTGTGGATCCATGTTGCCCCCTACTGGGAGAGGATATGCATTCTCTTACTATCTGTAATCCCACACAAAATCCTGCACAGGTCTAGTTTTGCACACGGACCCATTACCCCATTTATCTCTGTGTCCTATCTGGACCAGACCCTTTAATAGAGACCCAGAATCAGTGATTAGACACACAGGCTATACAGTCACTCCCTTTATAGTGCTTCATTTTTACTCTGGTCTAAGCTGGGATCTCTGCTCTTAAATCACAAATCCAGCTATGGAAATGTTAATAGAGATATTACAGATGGGTGCATTTGTACACAGCAACAAATGAAATCAGAATATAATATCGACTTTTGAACTGAGACAAATACAGAGGGTTTGAGAGGGAGAGAGTAACCGAGAGAGGGGTAGGGAAGGTGGGCTATGCCAGGCAATGTTTTTGTAAGGTATTTCTAACAGTTCTAATGCAACGCTATGGGTGTGGCTTGATTTTGAAATGGTCGGAAATAATGCTGGCTAAGGTGAGATATCCTCCACAGAAAGTACATCTGATATCTTTGTTCTCTTTATATATTATGACTGCTAAAGTGCCCTTTGTCTTGCGCCTGTGGTGTGATGCAGATTCTCAGCTTGGTGGTACCATCACTTTAGAAGGGAAAAACTGTTCACATTTACGTTTTTTTAAGCTCCACTGCCCAGATAAGTTTGCCAATGTCTTCAACATTCCCCATACTTTTTTTTGTTTGAGTTCTCCTATTTAAAAGGTGCATTAATACACTCTCATACACTCATGCAGATTTGTATCGTCTTCTTTGTTGTTTTATCTCTATTTTTGTTTTTGAAATACATTCACATACTAGCCCTAACTGCTAAATGCAGACTAGTAACATGCATACTTACATCATCCCAGTTCCAGAACTGTTCAGTGTGGCTGGTGCCTGATTCTCTGTAGTATTCCTCTAGGGGGGGCTCAACCAGAATCACATCAAACTTGCACTTCAAATCCTGCAGGTCAAAGTTCTCCGGTTCAGCCTGGAGGTACCTAAACACAGACAGACAAAGATGCTCTCAGTTATAAGAGCAAACCTTCCCAAATAGTTAAGGCCAACTTCAACTTGGTCTTCTTAATTCAACATATGTTCTCTGGGTGTTATCATAATTGACATTAAGGTAAATATTGAAAATCACATCATCATTAAACGTACATGGGAGGAGTGTTGGTGGTTGAGATGAGTTCGTCCTTCAGTCTGATCAGCTCCCGAAGCTTTGGGTATTCTTCAAACCGGTCAGCCAGGCCTGAAGCACAGAGGAAAACGAGGTAAGACGCCCACACAAATGTACGCACATAAAGAAACACACAGAAGCACACACTCACCAACATCTCGAATGAAGTTTTGGGGCCGGTGCCCTGTGTCCACAAAGTGCTGACAGTAGTCATTGTGTGGGTTCAAACTCTGAGTACCCTGAAAACAAACAGATGGAAAAAAGACAATTAAGAAAAATATATCTGCATAAACAGAGATGACACAATAGGGACATACTATACGTCACACCAACATACGTCACACCAACAACCATACAGCTGTACATAATCGGGTGTGAACAGATGAACATGGTTTAACAGCGAGTGTCATTCCATTGCACACAAAGTTGCATAATTCCATTGTCAGGTGCACAATAAACCAGCAAGGTCCTGAATGATTGGATGAATGCAATGTAAATATCCTGAATGCCGTAAGTTGTAAAACTTTGTGAAAAGTAGTGTAGTGCTGACGGAGAGCACCGGAACGCCGCTCCGGCACTAAAGATTGCAGTACGCATAAGGAGCTGTACACATGCCGCAGTTTTTGCGTGGCTGTGTCTTTAGTTGTAAGCCCAGTGGCGATCTGTTCATCTGTCATACTGATCCAGGGCCGTCCCTCCCTACAGGCCGATCACGCAGACTGAGTGGGGCCTCACCTCGCGGAGGGGGCCTCACCTTGCGGGGGGAGCCTCAACTGAACCGCAATTGCGGCGCACCTATGAGCTTATGCGACGCAATTAGTGTGGTATCGCCGCTGCAAGGCTCCACTACCAACCCCCCCTCACCCCCCCCCCCCCCCCCCCCCCCCCCTTTGACGCTCGCGAAACAGAGGGCCTCATCATATAACTTTGCGTGGGACCTCAAGTTGGCCAGGGACGGCCCTGTACTGATCATACAGTCAATAACGCCATCGAAAAGAATAGGATACATTACAGTACAAGTACTTCTGGGTCTTTGTGTGTCATTCAAGCGCAGCTCTGTGTGTGCGTGTGGCACGAGCGCATTTTGTTTGAGCGAGCGAGAGAGAGAGAGCGGTACCGGGGATTGTTAGCATCAGGTCAGCTAGCTATGCTAACGAATATAAGGAGCTTTTTCTACAACCAGGTGGAAGAGAGCTCTCTCCTGACAGACTGAGGGGCTCAGATAACTTCAGCTCAGTGAGGTAAAGGCACATCTTTATATGATCATTATAGTTGTGAAAAAATAAGAGAATAAAGTAAACAGGTATAAAATACTATATGACAGTAAAAGAAAAGTTGTTATTAATAAACAAGAATACAGTTTAAAAGGGGAGTGATTTGTAAAATATCCATAAGCACTTTGGTCAACGTGGGTTGTTTTTAAATGTGCTTTATAAATAAATGTGATTGATTGATTGATTGATAAATAAAAAGAAAATCTGCTTACAGTTCTGTTTCATGTGGTTGTTGAGAGATGTATCCATAGATCTCTTAATTTTGCTCTCAAAATGCACCAGATTGATGCTTTTAACTTCAACATTTTAAAGAAATCTTCCCGGGGGAGCATGCCCCCGGACCCCCCTAGAGGAGGTTAGGTCCACCCCCCACTTAAATCCTGTTCACATGGATAGGATACTAAATACATTTGCACACATCTTGTGTCCATATCTTTCTGTTTTGGTGGTCATGCCACAACCGTGCACGTGCATACATACACGAGTCATGGGAAGTTATCTGGATTAAGAGGTTGCTGTTTCTTTGCACAGCATGAAAGAAAGGCGAAATGAATGGGCTGTGATTTGAGTTTTTTTAAGCAGAGGTTGAGTTCAATCATTTGTATGGCCCTCGGAGGATGTTGTAAAAATTGAAATGGCCCTTGAGAGGAAAAAGGTTCCCCACCCCTGCTTTAAATACACATTTGATGCATCAGATTGTATAGACTTAATCAAAACTGTAAGTTCTAATTCAATGTCTGCAATACTTTCTGAGAAACTCCAAGAAAATAATATGAGGGAACAAAACATTCTAAATAAAGATGTCACATGATGTGTCATAACAACTTGTGACACCACGCAGGCTTTCTAGAGTTTATTATTACCGTTCACAGTGTGACTGATTACCAACGGCGCAAAGCAATTTCATGGTACAATAACATGCTATGTCTCTGTGTACCTTGTGACAACTGTTTCTCGTCACCTCTTAAAACTGGTTGTGCATGACTAGTTTCTTCTTTGTAAAATAAAACATTGCAACTCATTTCCATCAATAAACAATAGACTAACCTGTAATTACAGGTTGTAGCTAAGTGTGTGTGGCAGCTGCTACCCTACTTCTCACATGCCATTTACTTTACTAAAGCTTAGACGAATGGCAGATAAAACATTTCCTTCCAGCTTTGGATCATACATTTAAAAAGAAGACTTTTTGTGACAGACGCATGATCAATACCGAGCCATCTGAAATTCAGAGAGTTGAAATAACATATTTTTGTTGAAAGTATTCGCTGTGGTTCATGGTGGACATACAAATAAATGCTATGGTGAAAACGTTGTTGACATGTACGCCTACAATGCACATCTCATCATATTCTTTTTAAATGTAGCCATGTTTTATTTTAATGTTAATTATCATTATTATGGTGTTGAAAGTGAGAATTACATAAACCCATTAAAAAGGTTGTATATTTGAATATATACTGTATATATGGCTGAGTGGTTCAAAGGTACTTGTTTTTTCTTTGCGCAAAAAACAGTGTAATTGCAGTTAAACATGATAAAAGAACAGAAAACTATCTTCAATTATAAAAATGCAGATTACTAGACCTACAGTATAAGAGACACTTTCTCCCAACTAACAAATTGTAAAAAACATCATATACCCGCATTAAATCGCAAATGCGTGGCAAATTATTCAGAAGCTAATAGCATTATCAGCTGGTTGACATAAATAGCAGCTAAATCTAGTTCATCTGTGACATTTATGGTGTTACGGTAAAGTAGTATGTCCCATTGCGTGCATACTGCATGCAACAGCACATGGTATGTAAGGGCAGGTGCAATGCATAATAAAAGTAAAAGTATGCGACTTGGAATGCAGCCAGTGTGTCTGTAAAAAGAAAGAGAGCAGGTTTTCAAACCTTGAGGAAAGTACTGGAGTCCTTGTACACTTCTTCATACGGGTTGTTTTCATCCGGCTGCTGCACCTCCGGCTCATCCTAACACACAAAAACACAATGAGGTTCATACTTTGGTCCATGAACAGAACTTTTATTAGCATGTGTGGGTGGTAGATAAAAATACATTTTAAGAAAAGGGATCATAAAGCAATTTATAAAACGATAGTGGAATCAATATCTTGATAAAGCCACTAAAACTCATATCAAATAAATAATGTGACATTTTTTAGGGAAAAATCAAATGCATATGTAAGGCCTTATAGTCATATTTTTTAGATTGTCACCTTTACATCAGTCAACTGTACTCTGAGTAAGCGGGGACATTTTCAAACTCTTAGGCCCAATTCCAAATCACACCCTACCCACTCCCACTGTGAACTCCGTGGTGGAGTGACACTCGCAGCTCAACGAGGCTCCCTCCTGTCAGGTTGAGGGTGTAAATACAGCGGCAAGCTTTGGAACAAACTCCCCTCTCTCCGGCAGAAACAGGAAATGCCGTAACTGTATGTAACAACGGTCTCAAATCAGCATATCTTGGACAAAAAATGAAAATGAATAACTAAAATAAAACTCCAAACATCTTTAATTGTGTTACTTTTTTGTAAAGCTCTTTTAGTTTTAAACCTGATGTTTATAAGCTTCTTAGTTTTTGCAACAGTCTGTAAATATACACAACTTTATAATAAAATGCATAGGTATGACTAAACACAGGTGTTACGTGCTCTTGGTTGTTTTTCTCTGGGTGTTTCTCAATCGCGAGTAAAGCTGCTTCAGAGCCACTATTTCAAGCATACTACGTCATCGAGTGCCGCCGAAGTACTGTTCCAATCTCCAGCATACTTGGAAATCTACCGAGCCCGGCGTACTCCGTTTGGAGAAATATTGAGGCTGCACACGAGTAGACTCCGCGGTCTTAAAATCCCCACAATGCTTTGCGCACGGACCAATTTCCCCAAATCTGTGGCGGAAGATGTAAGGCGGGGCCTCTCATATGACGCACACCTGCTAGCGTGTTCCACACTTCGTTTTCCGAATGTCAGGAAGTATTCTTGCCTCGCTTCTGAAGCAAGATGCTCGGCAGACATGTGCTACCAAGCAAGCGTACTCGCGATTGAGAAACACCCTCTGTCTCTCTGCTGCGCAGGTACACCTGGTCTGCCCCTGGCTCCGCCTTCCCCAGGGGTCCTAATTCCATTCAGCTGGGGACTTAAAAAGGAGAAGCTGGAGGAGAAGAGGTCTCTCTCCCTTTCCCGATGCCGGAAGACTCTGACCGTGGATATCTCTCTCTGCCGTTTGGATCTGTAGATCCCTGTTGTATTATATTAATGTGTGAACTCTGGAGGATCTGTTAGAATAGGTTTTCGCAGCTTTATTTTTCCCGTAGGGTTTTTTGTTAGATCTCTGGGTAGAGGAGGGAAGCTCTGGGTCCTACGGCCCGTGGTGTGGCTGGCCCAGGCCCCCTTCTTCCTTTTTTTTGTTTTTGCCCGTCCTCCAGACCTTGTTCATTTGCCGGTTGGCTCATGTTAGTAACGGCTGTGCTCTATAATAAATGCTCGCCGTTAAGTGCTGCGTGTTTGGTGTGATTTATTTTATGTTGCGGGTCTTCCCACGAGCCACTACCACTTGGTAGAGGACGGGTCGTAACAACAGGTATGATCCTAAGTTAAAAATATGAGGTTATCATGAGGTTGTTAACATCGCAATTTATCAGTGAATGTTTGCAGGAACTGTTTGTAAACAGCTTGTTTCCTGACGGACACACACAGCATTGAGTCCGGTCAGGTAGTGACCGGTCTCAAGTCAGCACCGATGCAGACTCACTGTTTGAGGGCTTGATAACCCACTCCCCCTCCACACTCGTTGGTTTGGAACAGCACTTAATGTGGCAGACCCTCCGCGCGAACGCGCAAACGGAGGGGTAGTGTGTAGGGGTAGGGTGTAGGGGGTGGATTGGAATTGGGCCTTAATCTGCCCTCATGTCATTTTCACCCAAAATGTATCAATGCTGTGTACCATTGTGCTTTACGTTTTATTACTGGATGTGGATATCGGGTACACCATTGCACTTTATATGCTGCTGCTAATTGGCCATCGTTGTCTGCTCGCAGACTTTCCCACTGGTTGGGTTTTATTTATAAATCTCTGCTTGGGCTTGTTTCCTCTTACATTTGCACATTTATGTGTAAAAGAGAAGGTCTATATGGCCTGCACTCCCAAGAATTTATTCAGATGCTGGTTGCTAAAGTAAGAACAGAACTGGTTAAAATATGCTGCCCCCACTGCTTAGAATAATGTACAGAAGGAGCTGAAACTCCCAGAATTGATCACTATGGGGGAATTCAAGTCCATCTTAAAGGACAGAGAACAAGACACCATTGGTAGATGTGAGTGCTCGTATATCCTAAAATTGAAGTCGTTTTAAAGTTTGCCAGTTTTTAATGATTTTTAATAGTTTCTTTTATGTTGCATATTTGACTGGCTAATGTGCCATTTTATTTGTGTTTTACAGCTGTATTTGTCTGCCTGTATTGTCTGTGTTTTATCTGTTGTAACTTTGTTCATGCTGCCCTTCTTGGCCAGGTCACTCTTGTAAAAGAGATTTTAATCTCAATGAGTAATTTTACCTGGCTAAATAAAGGATATATATATATATAAATAATCGGTGAAACTGTTCACAATAATGTTTCACAATAACCTCAAGTTTTAAATGTGATAGATCCTACATTTTAAAACTCATGGAGACAACAGAAAAATGTTTGCAGCACCTTAAGAGATCACAGTTGTGGGTGGTGGCAAAAAATATAACTTTTTTTATCTGGTTTCGTTGTCTCCTTCTCATGTTGTATTTAGGAAACTTGGTGTTATGGTAAAGCTAATTGTGTTTTCATACTGTAAATTGCTGGCACATTTGTTTAGAAAAGTGCAATATTAATCAGATTTATAATCATATGATAGGGTGGATGCTTCTTTAACCCATGTAGATTCCTAATGCTCACCTTTGGTTCTTCAACATCTTCCTCTGTGTCCTCTCCCTCCGTCAGGGCCTTCCTTTTGGAAGGTACGGCTAAACTGTCAAATGAAGCCCTGCAAGACACAACAAATCTGAGATACATTCCAAGATACTTTGCCACATTAATGCACAAAACCCACATTTTAGCACTGACGATAACAAAGCAAAACGTCTAAGCAAGCGGGACAAACATATAACAATACTTTAAAGAAAATGAGGAGGGCTGTTGTGTGTAGAGGAGTGAGTGAATACAATATGATCAATGTGTGCATAAATGCAAGGATCAGATCAAACAAAAACCTTAAAAAGGCTTGGATAGGCAGCTACTCTGTATCGTGTTTTGTGTTATTCATGCCATTAAAATCCATTTGTAAATTAAATTAACTAACTCTTATGCTTACAACTGCACCCCTCCTTTATTATTTCTATTGTTACTAACCTGTTCGCCAGGATTTTGTTCAAACCGTTTTGATCATAGCTTACCTGCATGTCTCTCTTGTCTCCTCGATTTCTTTTAGTTCATCTTTGCTGTTTAGGACAGCTCCGATGCTGTCTGCACTTTCAGCTCCCAACTGGGGTTAGAGAAAAAGGAGAAAGTCATTTCTTTATGTCCTTTATTATAAAATGCATTGTTTTGCTCAGAGTTGTCTCTCAGCATGTTACTGCTTTTATGTAGCAGCAGCTTCAACAACTTCTTTAAAGTAAAGTTGTATTTTATCTAACATCATTTTCATTATAGTCTGACTACTATATCTGCAACAATAGCTTAACACAATTCATTAACATTCAATGTTTCAGGGATGTTGTTTATGCCTGGAGTCCACTCGATGGCGAACAATGTAAATGCGGAGATAACTCAGCTATGTTATCTCCCCTTATGCATGTATTGGTGCCACATGGCTCTTTCCTTGTTCACCACGTTTTCGAAAATGCGTAATTTAAACAACATGTTGTGATCTAGCAGCTCCATAGATGGTCAACAGATACCATTATAGCTTCAGTTAGATTACTTGTGAACTATTAGCTAACATTACATGCTAACATCACCAAGAGGCTCTACTTGCCTGTTGAGCTAAAAGCTCGCGTCTACGTTTTTGTTTCTCGCGAATCTCTTGCAGTCGACTGTTCATTTTCTTCACTTTGTATAGTTTCTAATTAACTATCAACCACATTTGCTCGTTGATACACACAGTTAAAGTTGATTAGCAAGCTATTATGGTAGCCAACAATCGGCCAATGTGTAATAGCCGCTAAAAAATAACAATGGGTGCACTCGTTACGCACCCGGGGACGCTCCGGTTTGTCACTGCCTTGGTGTACTGTAGATGGAGCAAGCAGCTAAAATAAGGCATTAAAGACATCTGGGAGGGGCTGTTGCCTTGCGTTGTATACTGAGGAGTTTATTTTGTATACGGTGCTGGCAGTCCACTTTCATTGTGTCAATTTGGTTAACCGACAAACGCTATTTATCCAGTGCCGACTCCGTCAACCCACTTACGGCGTACGCCGGTCAACATTAGGAGTGAACACTTTTGTGATCGAATGGATGCTGCGTGATGATGTCACCCGGTAGGACGCTTCTGTTTACTGATCCCTCCTCCAATCAGAGGATACTATACTGTTGACGCAGGAGGCGCTATTTAGTCAATTCCATCCTGTCATCAGGGAGAGAGCAGAAAGCAAAATCATGCAATCCAGTACCGCTCTGCCTCTGCGCCAAACTGCAGCATCTCTCAGATAGTGTGCTTCACTAATGTGGCCACAACAAGAAGATCCTTAAAAAATAGTTAATTGTAAATGCTTTTTAATTGCCAGGCTTAAGTAAATATGGATACTACTAGACCTATAGGTTAAATATGGTGTGGGAATTGCTTAAACTTATGATGAGAATCAGAAGTGTAATGCATACGCCAGAATAAACTGTTAACACATCTTTTAGTTCATTTTAGCGTTGTTTCAACAATTGCAAGTGTGCTTTTAATGTTTTGGGAGCATGGATACCATGCCACGGTTTATATGGCCCGGCTAATATTTACAATAGCCTTATTATAATTTACATTATGTGTCCCTCTCTATTCCCTGTGAATTTGCTTGTGATACTAAACATGATTACAGATTTTGTATTAGACATCATAGGCCTACAATTGCCAAATATAATAAAATGGTGTCAAATCGCATTATGGGGAAAATTACTTCGATTATACGTTATTGGATTTTCGTTGGGGGGCAGTCTGCCCATTAGCCCACGCAAATCTGAGTTTCATTGATCGGCGTCGTTTCTCCTTTCCCGGTTCACACTCTCGTCCCACCGCAAAGCGATGAGCCTGACTGGAAATCGCCTCCTCAGCTGATGATAGGAGCGATTGATGATAGAAGGCGCTGTCTTCGCCTCCTTACAGCCAGAGACCTACCATGAATGTGGCATTTATTGCTCTTACAGCCGCGCTTTTGGCTGCGAATAGCGGCTTCTGTTATTCTAGCAGCGTCCCGTCATTCATCCTGCCGTTTACTGACTGCGTCCAGAGCCGTGGGAAAGACGGTTTCTACCGGGGAGCGATAGACGTCACCGAGTCCGGCACCCGTTGTATGAACTGGACCGAAGTGGCCGGCTTCAAGGAGCGCTACCCGGGCAAAGGAGTTGGAGAGCATAACCACTGCCGCAACCCGGACGGCAGGATCCGACCCTGGTGCTTTTTTAGGAACCACAAAGGCAGAGCTGACTGGGGCTATTGCGACTGTAAACAAGGTAAACACGAAGACCCATACACAGCAATACTTATTTTTGGGGGATTCATAATCTGTAGGAATATGTCGACAACATTATGAATTTATATAAACTGAAATGCCAAAATGAAATGAAATGAATGATAATCTAAAAAATAATACAGGCTGCCCAATATCTAGAAAGTCGCTTTAACTTATAACATGCTAAGATAAGATGTAGATGTACTTTACTAGGACATTATTAATATTAATTTGGACTGATGAAAAGCAGATTTTTTGTTTTACTTCTGTGTGCAAGAATGTTCTAGCTCAATTGTGTTCAACTCAGGAAGCCCATGCTGAAGTAATTAGACAGGACACACCTTCAGTGTCCCAGGTGTGAGAGCAGTCTATGCAGATGGCAAGTCTAAGCACATTTGTGTTGTAATGAGTGCACAGGTATTTGCTTATATGGGGTGTTTGGGAATAACACAGTCCAAAGGATCACAAAAAGCAAGTGAGTCATCTCAATACACTGTCTCTTACCATATTAAAAATAGTTTGACATGGGGAACACCACATTATCCAAACCTATGAAGTACACAGGCTTGAGCCAATTAGTGTTGCTAAAAAGAAAAGTGAGGGCAAAGACGACTCTACATCTCCGGACTGATGAAAGGGAGAGAAGTATGATATAGAGTGGTGAAAGGAAGAGTGTGATATCCATGATCTGGCACACGAGAAGCAGCCTGTGGTATTTTTAGTCTTGTAGTGTGTTGGCACATCATGAATAAATCCTCTTCCTGTAATTGATACATGGAATTGATGTATTGCTCCAGTTATGTAAGATGTTTGAACAATTGCACACCTTATATTTGGAGTCCAGATTATTTTTGTTCCAACTTCATGTAAGGAAAAGACAGAGCGAATGACTCTCCTATGCATGTGTGTTTGAAAATGCACCCTTACATTCCCTGTTCCTAATAACCTACATAATGTGTATGTAAAATAGATATGGCATTCAAGTTACTCGATCAATAAACAACCTGCACGGAAGGAAAAAGTCTATGAGGAAAATCTGTACACTTTAGGCAACATCTGTTAAACACTCAATCCCAAATCCTGTTGCACCATGCGTGTTTGAGGACAAAAGACGGACAGAAGGACATAGTCAAACAGTGTTATAGTGTATTTTAACAACAGTTAAAAGTAAGTGTTTTCTTTATATAGACTGGTTGTGATGTGTCGACTCACACAAAATGTTATGTCAATGGATATCATGAACTGATGTAAAATGATACTTTTTAAATGCAGCCCTTTTGACACAGATTTTTGACAGATTGATTGGATCATTTATAACACAGTTGTATACGCCTGTGTGATCCCCTGTCATCATGACCAAATCAAACAAAGCCTGCCTTTCTTTTACCTCTTTTTTTTAACACTTTCATTTAGGGCTTGACAATATATCAACGCAATATTGATAAAGTGTTATGAGAATAGATATTGTTTGAGATTTTGATATCATTGTAACTTAACATAAGTTTTTTTTTCCCCTAAATTGTGTAATTTTCTGAATTTGACAGAATTGCCGTTCTGTTATTTGCGTTTACCTTCAAAGTCAATGCATCCACATCAATCCTAATTAATTCTAAGAAATATAATTGTGTAAATATTTTTGTGAAAGCACCAATAGCCAACCCTACAGTGTTGTCAGAATATGCTGTACTAATAGTCTGTTCTCCAACTCTCTTTCCATCCCAGGCTCTGTGCGTTTGCAAGGAGGCCGCACCAAGCTAGATGGCAGGGTCGAAATCTATCTTGGAGGAGTGTGGGGGTCTGTCTGTAGCGATGACTGGGGGGACGAAGACGCTGCAGTGGTTTGCAGACAGCTGGGCAAGGGGTGAGAGAGAACCCATGCACACACATGCGCTCGGACATGGATTATTTGCTGGCCTCTGTCTGCCTCCCCCGCTTACATATTTGTTTAGACACAGGTGCCAGTACAATCACCATCTGCCACATAAATTCACATGTGAAGCTGCCTACAGAGATTTTACATATGGTAAGAGTGTGATAGAAATCTGGTGGGAATGCTAGAGAATTTCACCACAACCTAGACATACACATGCACTCTCTTCACAGTCCTCGTACCTTTCTTATGTGACCCTTGCATTCCAACCCCCCATTCTCCAGCGGTATTTAAATACCTTCAGCGCTCAGCTATTTACCTTGTTACCAGCTCTCTTTGTTTCTCTCTTGACTGTGTCTTATGGTCTTGAATTTAAAGGTGCTTTCATGCTAGAAAAGCCACTGACTTGTCGGGTCTCCAGGGAGAACGTAGACGGATCATACATATTGACAGTGTTAATAAGCTGGGGTCAGTTTCTCAATTCAGAAAGCGTCTTATTTCCCTGGAGAACAGAGACCTTCTGTGCACTTACTACACATGTTGACACTAACTCCAACACTGGCACGCATGCTGACATGAACACATGCCTGTGTGTGCATATTCACACAGGAGTCAATGAAAGTCCACAGCGGAAAGGGAAAGGGGCAAATGTCAGCCATATGTCAGCTGGAATCGTTGGTGATGACTTTCACGTGGCCAGCTATTGAAGCTGTTTTGAGTAAAACTGCTGACCGCATTGGCCCTCCAATGGCAGATCATGAACATACTTATGGCTCAAGGTTACTGCTACCATGTAAACACGTCTGTTGTACTTTTTCTTCTAAGATGAGCTGCCTGAGCCTGGCTGCAGCAATTACCTCAGGTGACTTAAAAATAAGGGCCAAAATACCCTAATTAGGTTACATTTCTCTTGAAAAAACTCTGATACGATAAAACGGTTCAACGTCACTTGTCGACAAAGTTGAACTTATCTGAAATAGGTTTTTTACCTATTTCAGATAAGTTAAACTTTGTCGTTTACTTTCTACATCTCCTTCCAGGATCTCAGGTCGTGCACGTGCAGTTCCCCTGTTTCATCCAAGCATGGCCAAACTCCATTGGAGGGCAGTCCATTGCCAGGGAGAGGAGTCAGACCTGCTCCAGTGTCCTAAGACTGTGTGGAATGGAGGGGAATGTAATCTGGCTGCAGCCATCACTTGCACACAGCAGCAAGGTAGGCACTCCTCATTCGGAATTGTAGGTCTATGAGTGTTTGGATGTGATGAGAACTCTGATAAATCAACAAACCTTCAACATTTCTACAACTCCTACTCAATTCTAACTTTCCTCATGTTTGTACTTTAAAACGACAAAAGTCCTGACATTTTTGTTACCTTACCTAGTAGTGAAAATGTGTGTTTTAAATGCTTGTGTGGGCTCCAGCAGAAGTGGCGCTCCCTATAAGGCTGGTGGGAGGTGCATCGGGGTCAGAGGGCACAGTGGAGGTCTTCCATGCGGGGCAGTGGGGGTCCATATGTGACGACCAATGGGATGACAGTGATGCAGAGGTGGTGTGTCGACAACTGGGGCTGAGGTGAAGGGGCAAACACACACACACACACACACACACACACACACACACACACACACACACACACACACACACACACACACACACACACACACACACACACACATACAAATTAGTGCCCATCCTCACATGAATTCCAACCAGTAATTAGCATAAAGGAAATACATTGTAAGTATGGGAAAAAGAGTAAAATGTGTGAGAGAAAAATCGACTTGGAGGCTGAGATAAATGAATGTGGGTGTCCAGCCGTCAGTCTCTCTCTCTGTCTCCAAAAGTATGAAAAGTATTCTTTCCATTTGGACACACACAGAGAGGAGCAAGCAGTAAAGCACATCTGGGGTCAGATAATGAATCAGGCTCATTGTTCCTGCATGAATTCTAGTACCACTGAGATATGCATATTTAGCAACGCTACACACTCTTCAAATCTTGATGTGTGCACTTTTTGTCTATGCCAATGTGGTGTTGGTGTTGCAATGTCTCTGGATATGCATGGCAAGCATCTAAAAAATGTACAATAGGTTTAATTCATCCAAATTCCACATTCAACTAGAACAGCATCCTTAAAGGAATCCTATGCAAAATGCACTTTTTGATGTATTTTATACATACATATGTGTCCCCGGTGTGTCAGGGAACTCACAAAGTGTCCGAAAATAAAACCCTCTCTCTTTTCCTCCGTACCCAAACGGGGGTACAACGGAGCTGATCCAGATTTGCTGCCGATATGCCGTAATATCGGAAATGTGGGCTGGCTTTACACCCAGGGCCCTATCAGAAACGTTGCTCTAATAATCAATGCAATGCCTGACGTGTTTTGGAAGTAATATGGTATTTGTTTACATTAGCAAGCATCGCTAACACTCAGAGCTAACGCAGTACTGGAGAGTATGTGTAAAAAAGCAGGAAATTAAAAAAGGAACTCACATTGTAGTAAACCCACAAGAAAATAAGCATTTGAGCTCCATACTTTTTCAGAAATAAGTCTTGAATTGGTTTGGAACATGATATGGCGTTTAATCACATGATAGGAAATTATCGCATGATAGGAGATCTTTAAAGTCAGTAAGGGTGAATCAGTGCATCTGTTTTTAAATGTGTCAAAATAACTGCAAACCAAACCTTCTATTATTCTGTCATTTCTTTATGTAGCGGTGTAGCGAGGGCATGGGGCCAGGGACATTTTGGCAAGGGTTCAGGCCGTGTGCTGCTGGATGAGGTACGATGCACAGGCAATGAGCTCACTCTGGAGCAGTGTCCAAAAAGTGCCTGGGGGGAACACAACTGTCAGCACTCTGAGGATGCAGGAGTGTCCTGCAACCCTCTTACAGGTAGAACACCACCTGACACAGCATTAGCAGTCAATGCTATTCAAATATGTTCACATATGGAGATATAAAAGCCAAACCAGGATATGTTATGTTATTGGGGCAGAAGGGCTTGGATGTACTCTCTGGGGCTTGGATGTATGGGGCAGTGGACAACTCTCTGTTTTTCTTTCTCTTCAGATGGCTCTCTTAGGTTGGTTGGGGGCGCAACCAGCTATGAGGGACGTTTAGAAGTATTTTACCGTGGTCGGTGGGGGACAGTGTGTGATGACGGCTGGACAGACTCTAACACACAAGTAGTGTGCCGACAACTTGGTTACAGGTAATGTGAAGTAGTCATGTTGTCGTCATATACACATGCATCAATCTCAGTACTATTAATAAGTTAGAATAACATTGTGTTTGTGTGTGCACATGTCTACCTTGCAGATTAGGTGAGACTCTCCTTTCCGAAGGATTAGACATCACTCCAGTCCCGCGCTTCGGGGTGGGGTCAGGTCCCATTCTCTTGGATGATGTGAGCTGCACAGGGAAAGAACCAAGCATATTAGTGTGCAACAGGAACGAGTGGCTCCGGCACGACTGCACACATCATGAAGATGTTAACATCGCTTGCAGCCCTGGTCGCAATGGAGAGAGTCTTCCAATGAGTAAGACAGAATCTTATCTTACTGTAAGACTTAAAGGCTAAGATGGCATCGAATGTGTGAAAGAGGCTCAATGTTACTTTTACTATGTTGTTGGATACTGATATAAAGGACATGATGTATGTGCAGATTTAGTTTGTCACAATTCTTTGAAAGACAAAGAGCTTGGCACTTTGCACAAAGAGCACACATACTCTTTTGTCAGTGGAAAAGGAAAGCGAATCATGAAAGCTTTTATGTAATTTCCTGCCACTTCATACAATCTGATAATGGAAGTGCAAGCTGAAATCTGTTTCTAAGATCTCTGCCAAACTCAACCTGCAGTTAATTTGATCTCATCTTACTTAGAAGAGGAAAGCCAACCTGCTCCAAGAGAGGGATAGAGGATGATGTAAGTCATGCTTACGTTTAAAGGCACAGCTGTTAGTTGGCGTGTCCTGCCTTATTAACTGGGCAGCTTGTAAAGTCGTCATGCTTAATGGATCTACTGCAAACCTTTACCTAAAGTAAATCACCTTGATGTAAAATTCTTCACTATTTTTAACTGCAAAATCAAATTGGGCACCAGTGGGTTGATGTATTCCCAGACACACATAACACTGAACTACTTCCTCTTTATAAGAGGTTCAGTGGTTTTTGCTGAAAGGGGAAGAAAGGGTTGAATGGTAGGACCATTAATCAAGCTGTGTCTATAGCCTCCAGACAGCAATAAAGATGTAAACGCATAGCGCTGGATAGAACTACTAGCGGCTCAGATTTCACCTCATCCTATAACTGTTTCATTCTCTGTCATCTGTCTTAATGTTGAATGTAATAGATATGAGTCTGGTGAATGTCACAGAGAGGATACATCATGTTTTTTTTAAGTGATGAAAAGTTGCAGTTAGGTAGCTTATGTTTTTTGGCCAGAGCCTCAGAGACACTGTCACCTGACAATTACCACTGAATAATTGTGTTATTACTACAAATAATGTGTGTGTATTTGTTTGAGTGTTTATGTGTGTACCAAATCCTTCCTTCCCGCTCAACTAAAACAGGCAGATTGGTTTATGTTGTTTTGGGAAAAGGAGAAAAAGCAGATAAGCCCGTCTGTGCTTTGAACACCCCCCCCCACTACTCCTCTCTCTCCTTCTCTCTCTCTTTCACTATTTTCTAAGAGACTATCTTGTATGTATTGTAACAGAGCAGCAATGCTGAGAGAGTTCAGAGATAAAAACAGTGTTTGTAGTTCTAAGATAGATGACAAAAATGAGCATTTCCTCAACTGCCAACCCCAACAAACAAGTAAACATTCCCACATTTAACTCTCATTACCTTAATGACCCACTCCTATAACTCCTACACGCACAGTGTTCAAAGGCGGCATATTATTCAACTCACTACAGCCACAGAGAACATTTTAAGGCTAAATTGAAGACTGCTGAAAATGCAGTTTTGATCTACAAAACAAAAACATCTTTATTTTTCATAGCATAAAATGACTTGGTCAGGGTGTAAACTGATCCTGAAAGGGTCCACACATGGAAAATACATTAGCATCCCATAAATGACATTAGTGTGTGTTTGTGTGTAAATGTCTAGGCATCTGTGGGCAGACCCTGATGATAGATGATTTAAACTTAAATACCAGACTGATTTGATTAACACAAGCGAATAGCATTTGAGAGACAAATACAAGAGGGGGAGACTGTGAAAAAACAGAAAGGCAATGAAAATATAGGATCTGTTTATAGAGTCAGAAGTTCAAAAATGTCCCCTTCTGGACACACAAGTTGTTATGCATGCAAACAGACAGGTGTTCAAGCTACTTCCTTTGTAGGGAGCACATGCCCCACTCAGTTTTGATAAGGAATGTGTGTAGTGTCTGTAGTATTTATAGAGTCAGGGGTTTTTGGGAATTTTAGAAATATATTGTTTAGCAGGGCAAGTCTGTGTAGTGATTCTGAATTGTGCTTGTGTGTTCTTCAGGTATGCCGGTAAGACTAGTGGGAGGAGAGAGTCCTAGGGAAGGTCGGGTGGAGCTCTATCTGTCCGGGCAATGGGGGACCGTTTGTGATGACGGATGGACTGACCATGACGCTGAGGTGGTATGCCGGCAGATGGGATACAGGTATGTACTGTATATGTGCATCTGTGTTTGAGTTGCCTTCTTTAAGAGTCTTGTGTTTCTGGGTAACAAACTCCAACAAGCACAACAACTTGCATGGACCATGAGCTAATATAATGCCATACTCAAACAAAACGTTTTTTTTAATGCACTCTTTTACGTAGGTTCATTTGGGAAGTGTAGAAATGACCATTGAGGTTTAAAGAGAGGAAAGTATTTCACAGCAGCATCCAACTATTATGTTCATTATGGATTAACTATCGATAATCTGTCAATTAGGAATTTTGCAAATACATTTTCAGAATTTTGCTGGAAAACTCAAATGATAAAAGTTAGTTGACCTAAGTAAAACAGTTCATTTTTAGTCATGGTCAGAATGTTGGAATACAGTTAATATTTTTGAGAGGCTCAGTTGAGAGCTGTGGCATTGCAATGTGATCACTCTATACATTACACTCACTTAAGTGAAGCCAGACGGCCTACTCTGTTTGCAAAATCAATCTCCACTTCTCAGAATTGGCATCTGTCTTACACCTGCCCCCCCTTACTCTGTCTACCGTTCATCCTTCCAACTCTTTCAACCCTTGACTGTTTTGAGTTAGCACCTCATCAAGCATGTCTGGAGTTTCCAACCACTCCTGCAATGGAAAAAGTTAAACTATATGCTTTAAATCATTACATTACTTATCTTATTCTTATATTATTATATCTATCACTATATTTCATTAATCCATCTTAACAAATGTTACGCTCAAGTTTCAGAGCACTTGTGTGGAGCCGCCTCTGGTGTGCTGCCAGCTGCTTTTATTAGGGGTTTAAGCTGTGCTCTTTTGCAGAGCCAAGATACACATCCAATTAAAGGGCAGGCCAATTGTGCATGACACATTCACGGTGACAGATATGTTGAGGCTAAGCAAACTACCTCATCTCATCCTCTCTGTGTCCCATTATGCCTTCCCTCTGAGACACTGTCGCATTTTCCAAAACAATGGCAATGAGGTGGCAAGGGAAAACTGTATCGTAACAAACTGTCTTCAATTTCTCTCTCATCACTGCTCAGCATGACGCTCATCCCTTAGCCACCCACTTTTCTGTGACACATTGCATGTAGATGAAAGCCACATCTGGAGTGCATAAGCATGAGAGAGAAATTAAGCGTGTTAGAGGCGTGTAAAAGTCATGTTAGGATCATCATTCTGTCTCACACAGGGTGTGGTGAAAGGTCATTACACACACAGCAGGTCCCCAAGGGTGAGAGGTTGCTCTGGGAGTGATAAAAGAAAGTATGCATTAATACACAGAGACTTTCACACAAATTATTTTCAAGTTCAACTGTCACATTAAAGAAGGACCAACATTTAACTGTAAAACACAAAGGAAAAAGTTTCCAGCATAATACATAAAAATATATTTTGTGAAAGAAATTCAGGGACAAAATAGAGCGTACTAAAACATACCATTAGCTTGGAAACTGATTTAAAGGCAAAAAGTTTGCTTGTTTGTAACCATTTATTTTGTATATCTGCAAATGTAAAAAAAGGCAAAGCTGGAAATGTATTTATGAAGCAAAAGTATATGTCATTTATACTAAGGTAATTTCAAAGTGCTTACTGTATACACTTAAACTCAAAAATGGATTTAAAACTAAATCAAATCTAATCATAATGAGAAAATGAAAATAAAGTAGAAAAACAACAATAATATATATACATAACGAGAGGGCAACAGAATAGGGTTTTATTGTAAGCCTTTAAAATCACATTGTGAATATGTTGCCATGCGACAAAAAAGGTCACAGAGGCTGATCTTTTCTTTCATCCTCCCTTAGAACAGATCCAACAAAAATGCAGCCAAGTAAATAAATACTATCCAACATTTTAAAGATGCAAACACGAAATATAATATCTGAGAAAACTTTTGACTTCTCTTTTTAACTTGATCTTTTAATATCCGAAGCAGATTGTGTGGCATTTTTTGACTGATGCTGTGTTTCCAAAGAAACACAGCAAGCAGGTTCAATGTCAGGATCTAGGCTCGGTTCCAAGTGAGTTGGAGGTTCGCCCTTTGCATGCTAAATACCGCTCAGGGAGCTATTGGAGTCACAGACACAATTCTAGATGTCTCAATAAGAGACATGAGATTCCCTTTGGACAATTTGGGATACAAGACCTGCCACCTATCATACCCCCGGGCCGCAACACAAGATCCTCCCTGTCGGTAATCTATCAGTCTTAATTAAAATCCCAGTTACAGCCTATACCGGCCTACATACACACCCACCACCTGTAGGCCTCTGTGTGCTAGCTGTTTGCTAATTAAAGTCAGAGGTGAGAAATTGATACAAATATTGTTATCAGATTGTAAAAGTGGTTTGACCCGGTGTGCGTCACTGCCAGAGAATGTCAGACCATAACATCTATACTAACATGTCATCACCGCCTATCTGATAATACACACGCGTGCACACACACACACACACACACACACACACACACACACACACACACACACACACACACACACACACACACACACACACACACACACACACACACACACACACACACACACACACACACATATAGACAGAAATATCTGGCAGCCAAGCATTTAACCTTTCAATGTTAGTGGAACAGACCAACATACATTGCTACATTTACAATTCTGACATGGGCTGTTGCTTATTTGGAAATGGTCCAAAGTGCTGCAATTCGTCTTCTAACAAAAACAAAGTGCAGGGAGAACATTACTCCAGTTTCATCTCTTTCCTTTGCCCACTGGTGAAGCCTACAATGTATCATATTTTATTTATTACTTTTCTAGGTGAAACCTGATTACATTGTTTGAATTGTTGAGTCCTTATAGGTCTCTCAGGTTGGCAAACCAGGGTCTATATGTTCAGAGCTAAGTTTAAAATGATGGGAGAGCAAGCATTTGAAGTCAAAGCCCTACATTTTGGAGTTTGGAATAGTTTACCTCTTTCTCTTTTTTTGAAAAGCTTCTCATGACGTTTATTTGCTTGCTTCCTGTCTTTTTTGTATTTAATGCTCCTATTATGAAACTTAGTTTCTTACCTCAAACCTACAGTAAATACGGAGTTTCAGTTTTCCAACTAGTATCATTTATTAAGCAATGGCAACTAAATCTGTGTGTGTTTTGTTTCCCTGCTATTTACCACAGTGGGGTGGCAAAGGCCCGTGTGATGGCGTACTTCGGGGAAGGGACAGGACCGATCCACGTGGACAATGTGAAGTGCAGCGGCGAGGAGCGTTCGTTGGCAGACTGCATCAAACAGCCACCCGGCACACACAACTGTCGCCATAGTGAGGACGCTGGGGTCATTTGTGACTATGGTGAATCTCAGCACAGCTACCAAGAGGTGAAAGGTCAGTACGGTTTGTTTTTTCCTTACAATAAATGAATGTGTTTAACAAACATTTCCATCATGTCAAATACACTGGAAAACTAATGAGAAACAAATGGCTCAAGAGAAGTTAGGAGGGAAGATTCTGAGAGAACTTCTGTGGGTGTGTGTGTTTCCAGATGGTAAAATGGAGAGAGCAATGCTATTTCTTCACCCTGTCTGTCACCCATCAGGGCGACTCACACAATGCTATCCGTTACCGACACATATGCTATTACTTCAATTTTTCACATACTGGGGAAAGTCAAACCAATGCAGGAGAATGTTTTGTCTCTTCAGTATGATAAATTACCTCTTGTGAAAAATAGCTCAGTCTATGTTTGTATGTTTTAACACAAGATACACACAGACTATGAAAACGATCTCTCATTTATTTTATTTACTTTATTTTTCAGGTTCATATGTAGAAGTAAAATATTAATTTGAAGCAGTATTCTTTTTTGGATCAGTCTAAATATTTAAAAAAGGCAATATCTGAGCTAAAATGTATGGTTTAGCAATCATCACCCTCCTACACTCTCTCACATATACACGCTCAATGGTTCCTCTTTTGTCTCTGTCAGATCCTGTCAACTCAATCTGTGGTTTGAGGCTTATACACACTCGCCAGAAACGAATTATAGGAGGAGAAAACTCTCTGAGGTAAGCTGGAAAGGACAGGAGGGATTAATGAGAGTGCATAGAACGCCTGCCAAAGACATATAGAATACGAATATTGGACACATGGAAAACAGCTGATCTATAGCGACATGCATATAATATATAATTGTGTGTACTTACAAACACAAACTATATGTGGGCAAAGCAAAATGTCAGTAATAAATGTATTTAATGTTTGTCATCTGCAACAATTTACTCTAAAGCAAAGCACGTGTGAATGATGTGTGTGTGTGTGTGTGTGTGTGTGTGTGTGTGTGTGTGTGTGTGTGTGTGTGTGTGTGTGTGTGGTGTGTGTGTGTGTGTGTGTGTGTGTGTGTGTGTGTGTGTGTGTGTGTGTGTGTGTGTGTGTGTGTGTGTGTGTGTGTGTGTGTGTGTGTGTGTGTGTGTGTGTGTGTGTGTGTGTGTGTGTGTGTGTGTGTGTGTGTGTGTGAAGAAGAGATAAACATGCTGGGATAAACATAGAGAAAAGCAACATGTATGCATCCTTGTGTGTGAGTGTGTGTGTGGTCACCTGTATGGGCGGATGTAAAACCAAATAACTTTGGTACTGAGTATTTACACACTGAGTATTTATTTGTGTTTTAGTGGGTACGCATGTTTAGAATACATCAGGCGTGTTTACACTAGAAGTTCACACTAAATGTATTCTGGCATTTATGCTTATGTTTAAAAAGAAATCATATTTGTAAACGGTGCTAGTAATGTTCTGTATCACTTTTTAAGGTTGTCACGCGGATGGCATACCCAATATGAAAGTGTTTTAATTGTTGCAATGTTGGCTCCTCTTAAGGGCTTTTTCACTTCTTAAAAAAGTGTTTTAATGTGTTTTTGTGTGTGTGTGCGCTGTGTGTCTTTAGAGGGGCTGGCCATGGCAGGCCGCGGTTCGGTTGCGAGGATCTCGTGGAGACGGGAGGTTGGTGTGTGGAGCGACTCTGATTGACAGCTGCTGGGTCCTCACATCAGCACACTGCTTCAAGAGGTCAAAAACACATACTGCCACGTATTAACTCACGTATTCACTCATGTTTGTATGTGTCACAATTTGAAATGGACACGCTATGTTACATTTTTAAAAAGCCAAATATTGCAATGCAGAAGGTTCAGTATGAAGGCAAGGAAATAATGACTTACCATATATCTGTTTACGTGCCTCTCAAAACACAGGCCAATCATCTCCCCCCCCCTCCCCCTTTTCCATGCACTCACAACACAGCGTTTCCACCCGTCAGTGTCAGTGATTGGTTGGGAGTCTTTATTCATGGTAATGTGTCTGTGCTTATGCATACATTTAACTCTGCCTTGAGCTCCAGCAGAACTACACAACTAATTGTCTGCTTCCCCTTGTACATTTAAGTCTGGCAGAAGCATGAGAACCTCAACAATGTGAGCATTGATAAGTAGTGCTTTAGTTGTGGTTGTGGTGCAGTCGGCCGGGAGTCATCATTTTCACTTCATCTGGTCTAGTGGCCTCCACATGGTACCACCACCTTGAAATCAATCACCTTATGAATACAGCAGAGAAGGCGGAAGAAAAGAAAACAAATAGGAAAAGGAAATGAGTAGAACAAAAACAAATGTTGAAAATCTGATAAAGTTGCGGGTTGTGAGAGCACCAACCCTAATGTCTGCATTTTATATTTATGCAGCACATGTATGGCTGTCAGACTCCATTTTTAAGAGTAATATATTTTGGTTGCATTATGAAGTATGAGTCTCAATAATTGGGTTTGAGGAAACCAGAACTCTTTACAGGGCTCTGCAGCTCTACCACTATAAATCCAGATGGTTCCACATTAAAGAGAGGAAGTGGTCATTCACTAAATCTTTTCCAATGCCATTTCTCCAGGCATCCCCAGGGCTTAATGGAGGGACGTCTACGCTGTGATCTGACTTGCACCTCTGCTTTGTTTAAATGACACACACAGGAAGCATACAGCTGAGCTTTATGCTGCAAATTTAGACCATTTCGGATGTAGCAATCAGGACTTCTCGGACTGATTAATACTGACAGATTTGTTGACCACCATTGCAGATTAAAACTAGCGGGCACGGTGAGAGAGCAGACCTCTGCCAAATATGCCATATCTCCTAATCTTAACAAATGTAAAACATTGTGCGTATCCTCCCTGTGTTTTGAATCTGTTACAACATTTAATGGCTATTCCTTGGCCTACGCTACACCCTTCACAAACGTTCTGGAAAATCAGGCCGGACATTTTTGTGATCCATTTTACAATCACACAAACAGATCAAACAGAAAACATAACCTCCATGGCAGAAGCAATACTGACTCTTAGTCCTTTCTAACATTGGTAAGTCATTTTATTGCACTACAGTGTAAGCACTACAGAAGCCATAATAGTTAGCCTTAAACATAACACCGTCAGATCATTCTTGTGGTTGAGTGCCATAGTTTCCTTTGTGTAAGAGGGAATAAACTATAGGCTTTATCTGAAGCTAGTTGTTAGTATTTAGTACCAGTGGATGTGCTCACACACCTTCTGCCTTAGGCTGTGCTTTTTATTGAAGATTGAACTTATTGTCATTACGTAGTACAGGTACTATGTAACGAAACGGTTTCTCTGCATTTTACCCATCCTAGTTTTTAGAAGCAGTGGGCTGCCATTATGTACGGCGCCTTGCTCAGGGACACCTCGGTAGCACTTGGTCAAGCCAAGCCAAGTCCCTATGGACTTCGCCACCACCGCCCAAATTATATTGAATGGAATATAATAATGTGTTGTAGCTTGTGGAATGAAATTGTCAGATTCAGACGGATGACACTCCTACAATAGTAACACCTTGCTGACTGCTGGAGATTGGCGCAACATAAGTTCAACAACATGTACAGTTCAACACCTTCCTCGTGTAACAGTTCATGATTTACTATAGATTCTTATTGTGGCTCAAAGAAAACTCTAAGTTAACACCAACATAGAGCATACTGTATTAAAACACCACCGAATTTATATTTTATATTTGAGCTGTACGTAAGATTTTTTATCATTGACACTGTAAGGAAACAAACAAGGTTAAATACAAAACAATACCCCTGCTGCCTGATCACATATCAGTCTGTAGTACTCCAAGCTGTAAGCTTGGGCAATGACAGCTTTAAAACGTAATTTGCTGCGAGCAAGCCAGAGCACGTAGACCAAGATAGGAACTTCCGACTTAACAGTGTCATCTTTCTTACAGTAACCAACATAGGGTGGTAAATAAACAAACACACACAGCAACAAAGAAATACACCTATGCAGTCACACAATTAACATAAAATACATAATTAAGTTGGCATACACACTCCTGCTTGTTCTAATTTTGACACAAGCACCGATACTTTTATAATTACATGTTAATGTGCAACTACCAAGTGTAGCTAACATGATCATGTTTCCTTATCCCTCACACTACTATTACCGATTAGTGGCTTCATAAAAGAGTGACCTCAGGTCGGTGGTCACATGCTGTCAACATGATAAACCTATTTATACCTTGAAGCTGTACAGCTAGGGCTTGCCAACAGTAACACAACTCCAGCAGATTTTTAACTGCTTTTAGCCACAACAACAATACTTGAAAAGTAACTGAGGTGTCACATTCAAACTCCTTTCTAATCCTGAGATGTTGCCTTTATGTTCGGTATGCACTGTACGTAGATGCGTAGTCAGCAGTGTATCCGCTTTTCCAGGAACGTCATGGCATTCCCAGGTCAGGAGATCTTTCCAGAAACACTCCACCAGTTGTAACTGGACACAGAGACTTGGCTCGATCGAAAGGCATCTTCCTTTACACCTCTCCTCTTCCCTCTCTTCTCTCCCTGCCTCTCCTTTTCCCCTGACTTACCCTACTTTACCTTTATTTAAAAAAGGCCAAACAGCTCAATCAAGTAAACAGAAAGCATGGAAAAGACTTCATTATGTCAACCTATGAGTCAGTTTAACGCATAAACACAAAGACACAATGACAGATGTGTTGTTATCATTCTTCCCTTTTTCATTTCTTAAGTTGTCCAAAAAGCTTGCAACTCTTTCTTATTAGTCATGGTTACGGCAGAGACCAAGACAGACCATCAACATATCGAAAACGTTGCAGGAAGAATATAATGCCTCAAACATATGGGCTTCAATCTATTCTTCTATTAACTACAGTAGTGCTGACTTTATTACTGTGTGAGCTCAGTGTAATGGCTTATTCTTTTTCCAGATGTAGTTTAACTATTGATGATTTAACTCCAGCCAATGCTCGTTATTTATGTATCAGCAGTGAGATTGCTCATGCACACACATCCTCTTTCTTTAATGGTCCTTCTCGATCCTTTCCCTCTATTTCTCTCTGCAGATATGGAAACAGCACCAAGCAGTATAAAGTTAGAGTGGGCGACTACCACTCCCTTGTGCCTGAGGAATACGAAGAAGAGTACGGTGTTGATCAAATCGTCATCCACCCAAGCTACCGGTCCCAAAGCAACAATTACGACCTTGCCTTGGTTCGTCTGTCACCTGGGGCAGTGGGCCAGATGCCGGGAGAGTGTGTGTCATTCAGCCGTCATGTTCTTCCTGCCTGTCTGCCCATGAAGAAAGAGAGAGTGCTCAAACAAGCCAGCAACTGTCACATTACCGGCTGGGGGGATACAGGTGAGGGTGTGTGTGTGTGTGGTAGTGTAGAGAGGAGGTGGGTGTGATGGCCCTGGGGTGCAAGTCATTATTTTATTCTTGACTTTAAAATGTTGGAGGAACTGTTAATGGGAAGGTGTAGGAGCTTTAAGCTTTTAAATATTTAAAGATATGGGAAGTGAGAAAAGATGGGACTTTAAAAGATAGATCCAACTAGATCTAACCCATTTCCCTTTTTTTTTATCTCTAAAATGTTCATTTCAGGACTATATTTGTATGTTTGTTTATTCCTCTTCCTTGAGCCAAGCTCTTGAAATGAATGCAAACAGAGTAAAAGGCTGCAGTGTTTTTACAATCATCATCGCAAATAATCTGGTATATGCCTCACTAGAATTCCGTTTATTTAAAAAATATTGATCAGGTAAATTGGAATCTAGAAAATATTTTTAAGGGAGATCAGGGATCATAGAACATCATATCACACCACAACTATATGTGGTAGAGTTCGACTTGAACAGACAGGTAAAACATCCAGTGCTGTAACCACGGTATTTCTACCATATGCAAGTAATTTTGAAAGTCAGCTGCAAATGCATTTAAAGGAGAAGAGAATCCTTCACTAGTAATTGCACTTGTTTGAATTCACGCTCTGTATCTTTCAAAACACTTGACTGTATGCACCGCCACACATCTGTTAGTGATCTTTAAATTACATGCCAATGTCATTAATCATTGCAACTTAGTCACAAAGGGCAACAGAAGGTCTCCTAAACACTTGTGCATAAACATGTACTCCCTTTTGAGATGCTGTGTCTTCTTTGACGATTGAATTCACAAGGGAGATTGTCTTTGTGGGAAAGAGTGTTTTTATTACTGAAGTGTGATGACAACATCAGTTATTTATAGTGTGATGCTGGCAATGCTTGTTTAACTTAAAGCTCAATGTCTTCTTTGTTCAGCTGTTTGCATTTGGCTATACGCCACTCATATATCACACACACACATACCTAGCATCCTAAGCCGCCATGGATAGTTATTAACACTGTGTGGTCACAGAGAGAAGCAGCAGAAAAACCCAACACTGCACTTCGTTACCTTTGCATCAGTAGTCCCCTTTCAGTTTGTTTGTGCATTCCGGCGTTCACGTGTAGAAAGCCATGGCGGGATCCGGTCCTTGTCGTTACTGGTTGTTTGAGGTACTGGAAATATCTGGAAGGATAAAAGAGGTACAGGAGAAGAGGGCAGAATATTAGTAGAAGAAAATATTGTTGGATAGGTTCAACCTCTCAACAAACACGTTTGGCCAAAGGGATAAGTTCCATGCTGGAAGTTCAACAATATGACCGGAGACTGCATATTAATCAAAGGTAGCATATTGTGGGTTAAAACCTGCAACAGGCCAACATAAAACAGACACTGTCAGCATGCCAGGGGAATTACATTTCTTATTAACTTTAATTGGGATCCTTCATGAGATGAAAGAAAACAGCCTCTCCTATACTCTGCCAGAAACCTTGAAATTGATTAATCTCTAAATTAGAGCTCGCTAATTCCTGAAAAAATGAGGGTGCCTTTGATAAGAAGGTCAAGTCAACCGGAGTCTGCTGCCCAATTGCAGGTCAAAGCAACAAAAAAAAGCTATGCCCATGGACTTCATGTCCACACATGTCAAATGAATCAGAAAATAGGAGTCTTATAGTAGTCTAGTAGTAGAGTCTCACACTGATGATGTTGTTATTCTAGCGTGTTCATTTTCAGCAGGTATGGTGGTTACCATGTTAGTTTAGTGTGTAATTAGTGCTACACACAAAGTACATCTGAGGTTGATTTGAATTGAATTGCAGGGATTTATTCATAACCAAAGTGTTAATATACATTATGATGGGATGAAGGTCACTGGGTAAAAATTCAGAAGAATCAAAGTTTTTTCAATTAATGAACATGATTGTGGGTACCAAAGTTGGATGGCAAACCCTGTAATAGTTTCCAGACTTTCTCTCAAAACCCAAAATGCAAACCTACTGGTCATGCTACAAGACCAAATAGATGAGCAGACTGACCAACATAACCATCCCATGCCACTGTCATGGTTTAAACACTAACATTATGCTCACAAACACTTTAATTCTAAACTGTAATGCTTTGCCTTTTTTCTCAGGTCGCTCATACTCCAAGACCCTTCAGCAGGCCCCCATATCCCTACTGCCCCGTCGTCACTGCCAGCATCATTTCCACAGCGCCTTCACAAGCCGCATGCTCTGCGCCGGCAGCATCCAGTCGGAGAGGCGTGTGGACAGTTGCCGTGGTGACAGTGGAGGTCCGTTGGTGTGTGAGCGTCCAGGAGGGGGTTGGGTGGTTTACGGGGTCACATCCTGGGGTCATGCTTGCCGGACACAACAGTCCCCTGGCGTCTACACCAAAGTGTCTGCCTTCAGCCCTTGGATACGCAAGGTGATTACACGTGATGACCAAAAAGAGAGAGGACGATAGAAGGACAATTATATATTGAGAAGAATCACACTTAAGACTTTCTTTGTCAGGTGACAACTGATACAACAATATAGTTCAGTCATGAATAACTGATGTCATGATGGTATCACCTGATAATCCGGGGATGTTAGTTACAACCTGACTTTCAAATTAAAAGCACAAGGCAACGCTGGACTTTTTCCACTTAGAAACTTTTTTAATATTTTTGGGAGAGAGGAGGGTTATAAGCACTTATGTAACTGATTTAATATCGTCTTGAGATGCAAGATTTTGAATTTTCTTCAAATCTCAACCTAAGAGAATGCATCTATGTAACTTAAATATCTTGTTTCATGTGACATTGCATGCTAAACTTCTGTGCTTGCTTTTACAATTAAATTATTGTGTAACTTATGATATGCAATATGTGATTAAAAAAGGTTGAAAAGGGACCACAGTTAAAAATAACAACATACTGTTAACATGTACAGAATTAGCCACGCATTGTATGGACTTGAACACTTTCACAAAGAACCCCCTTAGGTACTTATTGCATATTATCTTGTGCTTTTGTGTTTAGCATTCTAGTCATATTGACATTTGCCAAACTGAAATATGTAATTCGACCTCATTTTATTATTGTTTTTTTTTTCTCTGTGCTCATTGTTTTGCTGTGTAAAAAGCATATTTCAGGTCTTAGTTATTTCTCAGGCATTTATAAGTTGCATGCAGTCAGTATTTCTCCGTGTCTCAGTGCCGCTTAACAGAGGAAGAAAGGGACAAAAGTGTTTCTGCGTCCAAGCACATTATAGCAAGTGTTGATTTGTCATATCCTCTTCTAATTCATGAGCTTTTGTTTTGGCGGGGATAGTAAAGTGTTGTTGTTGTTAAAAAGAGACAATCTGGTACACTTGAAAAAACTACACTGCCCTCTTTTTAGGTGTAAACTGACTATGTGTTATGTTGTATTGTACTGTAACATTTCTTTATAAATACGATTTTGTAAAACATGTTTGATGTTGACACACCAATGAAACATTAAGGCACATTGCTGATGGAACTGTAATGTATAATTAGCAGGTAACACTTTATAGTAACCATTATTAATAAAGGGTTGATTGATATTAAGATTAACTTTAAATAAAGTTATAGATTTAAAATTAAATACATGAACTTGCAATTTAAATTATGATCAGATGTGAATGCAAGAATGTATAATCTTTCTCAAGTCAAACCTTTCAGTAACACTATCTTACTAAAATGGATCAAGAACATCAAGGATAACACCTTTATCAAAGGTTTAATGTTCAAGTTCTTAAGTCTTATCTATTTTTTATTTACAAAAACAACTATACACAAACTTTCACAATGACACACTTTGGTAAAAAACCTTTTGTGACTCTAAATATATTTAGGGAGTTTTCGCACTTGATGTCACACATTCTGTGATCCTCCCACATCTGAAAGAGCCCTTTCAGGTTTGTTTCTGACTGCAAACTGTCAAAGTGAGCACCACTGTGTCAGACAATGTGTATGCACACACACCCACACACAGTGTCGCTGGTTTGTCACACTGTCTACACTACAGAAATGGCAGCCATTTTCACAGTTGTCCTTATTTACAAGGCAAACATGTCATGTTGACTCAACACAACTTAAAGTGGACCTATCATGCTATATTTGAAACATATATTGTAGGGCCATACCTATACAAAACATGTCTGTGATGTTTTTCTTTCAAAATACCAAACAGATCACCCATTGTAGCCATCCCTCATACTGCTCAAACCCCTCTTTTGAAGCCCTGTTAGAGAAACGCGGATCTTGGAAAAATCCGCTTGGAAAAAAAAAAAAGAAAGAAGAGGAGGCGGTGCTAATGCCTGATCAGAATTCTACCGGAGATAAAGTTAAATTCTGCTGTGATAAAACGCCATCCTGTTAAAACCCACGTCAAGGATTATTTCTGAAATAGTATGGAGCTCAATGCTTTTTCTCTTGCAGGTTTATCACAAGGTGAGTTCTTTTTTTATTTCCTGCTTTTTAAACACATGTGCTCTACAGTACAGGTTAGCTCTGAGTGTTAGCAAGGCTTGCTAATGTAAACAAAGACGAGATTACGTCCAAAACACGTCAGGCATTGTTTCTGATAGCAACTTTCTGTGGATCCGCTCCCGATTTGACGTCAGTTCGGATGGAATCTGTATCCGCTCGTTGTACACCCGTTTTTAAAAGATTTGGGTACGGAGGAAAAGAGAGAGGGTTTTATTTTCTGACGCTGCGTGAGTTCCCCGACGCACCGGGGACACATATGTATATATAAAAGACATCACAAAGTGCATTTTGCATGATAGGTCCCCTTTAAGAACTGGGACCAACTGCTACAGTGGGAGGCTGCATGAGATGTTGGCATGAAAAAAATCACATTTATCATCTTCCCAGAATTTGTTATTGTTCCTCATGTGCTTAAACAATAATGTTTTGCACCATTAATGTAACTTTTGACCAGTTATGTAATGGCATTGTTTCTTCTAACAAAACACTACAGTACATTTCCCATGCATTTAGTGAAAGTGTATTGTCTTTAAAAAGCTAAATACTTCCTCTTGCCACAACATTTATATCAGTACAGTATGTTACAGAACAGCACCGTCGTGTGGTTGACCCATTACATGAAACTATGGTTCATAATTCTGTATGGATGGCCTTTTCAATTGCAATTGAATTTACTTTTACAGCAAGATACAATAATTATATCCCCACATAGAACATTGTCCCCTGGACATTGACACTTAATGTATCATCTATAGCATTTTCAAAACCTAAATACATAACTTGAGCCCACAATGATTCAAACGATTTTGAAAGGCATCATGAAAATAATGTTGTTGTCATTACTCTCATATTTGGGGTTGATCCGATTTTTTGGCTCTACTTTTAGACAAGCTTTAGATTTGGAATATCACGTTAATGTAACTTCGCTTATCAAGTTGCTCAAAATGCATTAAGGACTTTTTATCAGTGTACCATTCCCTTTTTCCTCCTTATAGATTTGGGATGAAGCATAGTGAAGTAACGAAACACGTTATTTAAAGAATGAGTCAACCAGGTGTGATGGTTTCACACTGCTAAACTATTCCACGGTATTTTGCAAACATATTAGGAAGGAGGAAGATACTTCATTTAACGAATAAGCTCAGAAGGCACAAGGTGCTGCAGGGGTAATGTGGAGGGGATACATATACAATTGCATCATAACTGATCTTGTTTCACATCTGCTAAATGTTTTGCCTAAACTGACAGAACTTCTCTGAGCCAAAGCACAGTAGTCCTTGTTGTGTAAGAGCACCCTCCTGTGGTCACTATCACACATTACAACACATTGGAACTCATTTTCTAAGGTTATTATTATGGAAAATCTAACATCAAAACGTTTTGTTATTCCCCTTCCACCAAAAAAAAGAGTAAATGTTATATAACGTAAAATAAATCGTTTAAAAAACCATTGATAAACAATTAACATAATATACATGTTAACTAAATACATTTTATGGTAGTTGAATTGAAGATTCTATTGAATTTCATAGTGGTTATGACAATTATTCAATTTAATTATTGTTGCTTTCTTGTGGTGGTTTTGATGTTGGTTATCTTTGTAAAAAAATTGTTTATGTCTGCTGATTACATTTCCAACATCGACGCTGCAGTTATATTGAAAATGTTCCAAGGTACTGAATATACATATTGTGAATATACAATAAAAAAACCTGATGAATAGAGGAACCAGGGAGCATTGCCCTTTTTGTCACTAATGAGCTTATATTAGATGTCACCAGAGGTGGTGCAGAACAGAAGGTCTCATTATACACGGATAATTGATTTCTGCTCATATCTGTGTCATCCCTTAAAATCTGGCAACATTTGGGAAAACCAGTTGAGAAAGATCTGAGAAAATTGTTAAAACATGAAAAAGAGTGATCTCATGCGGATTAAAATTGGCTGCTAGAAAAATCATCTTTAACCAGATGCTTTTGAAGATGGCTGGAAATATGTTTACAGTTTTGGGATTTGGGTTACTTTTTTATATCTCTATGTACAACACGAGTAATGTACTTCTTTTATCATTGTATTTAAACTTGAATTATTTAAACTATAATCTTAAAAAAATCTACATACTTAAAGAACAATATATTGCTGCAACAACCTAAATCTTCGGATGGCATTTTACCAGGCTGCAACTTCTGCTTTACAGTGACTGTAAAAGCATTTCCTATTTTATATCCCTAAAACATTATGACTGTTTGCTGATATCCTATAAAGTACAATTTCTTTCAACTGTACCGTATCTGCAGACCACAGACTTAATATGTAAAAACTGAGTGCTTCCTGGTATTACTCACCGCTTTGAACTCTAAAGGTCGAACCCTCGATGAGCCATAACTGGATTATTTCAGCCCTCTAACAGAGTCAGTTATATCTCCTTACAAACACAATGGACTCCTGCAAGGATGCAGCTACTGTAGATACGGTTAGTGATTTATGGGAAGCTTTATTGTATACTTCAAATTTCATCCATATCTGGCAAAAAGGGTTCTTTGAGTTTAAAGTGTGTTGAAAGGGCCTTGGATCTTTTCAAATATGTTCACTATCTGACATTCACATGCTGTGTGGTGTCCTTTACTTCTGCCATGGATGTTTCAATTGATTTCTCCCAGACTACAGTCTTCCATTTTTCCCTTTCGTGACTACATGGCTAAACTTTAGCTGCCGCTTTGGTAATGTAAAATCTTCTCCGCCACATTCAGGGTTTATTGCAAATGTTCTTCATTTTATGATCAGAGACTTTAACAAAACATTGCTCAACAAATACAATCTCTCCTTGCAACCCTTACACTGCAGTATATACCACACCCTCTGATATGTGATTACCATGTTGTCCATTGAAGTATGGGTTCACATTTCAAGTATGTCTGAGAAGAAAAATCTGGTGGGTTATGTGTTATATTGTTTAAAACATTAATGGTTACTGTGTTAAAACCAAAGACAGGAAAAATGTGTCAAACAGCAAACTGTCATCCATGCCATTTTCACTTACCTTAAAAGGACAAAGAGGCTACTGTCAACCATTTATGCCACATCATTTGTGAATTAATGTTAGTATGATGGTGTGTCCCTGTACAATATGGGTTATCTGTGTTGTGTACTTGGTCACAAAAGACACATATTATGCACTCAATAATATTGATTTCTTTAATTTTGGTTTGTGTGTTTGACATTTAGAGGTTTTTTTGCATTCAGATTGAAGCTCAACAACGTAGGCCACTGGTTTTTTTAAAGGAAAGAAAAAGAAGGTTGAAACTTAAATGAGACACTTACAAAACAAAGACTGCCTGCTGTTACAGTAGCTACTTAAAGAGTCTTGGAATTAAGTGTCATATCCATTAGGCTCATTTTGCTCAGTTTACTTCCCACAAACTCATGTCCCCTCAGTCTTCAGCGCTGAAGTCATCAGTGCTCATGCTCTGCTAAATGGACACAGCGTTCTTCTGCATGGCTTGTCAAAGGAAAATAATGAGTGGGCAATGCATCTTACTCCAATGACTAATTTCTAGTCCACACTTTCCAGTGAAAGCCTCAAGTGACATCTCTAAGGGTGAACAAGGCTACCAGATCTACCAGAAACTAGCTTCACTTAAAATAACTTTTTACAAAATGATAAGAACCTGTCATGGAAAGTAACAGCCAGTCACCCACCCTGAGTCGATGCACTTATCCTCCCTGCTTATACACTCTTATTGTGACAAAACAACACTATAAAAAATATTTAAACAAAACCACAAAGGCTGCGTTTCTTTTGTCTTGAAAATACATGGAACGGAACATAGTGCAAAGTCATCTCTATGGGAACCACGCACAGCTGACCCGCGCTGTCCTGGCATCATAAATTAAAGGTGAAAATAAAATAAAAAGTGATAACCATCAAAGTCACTGCAGGTCTGCACGAGAGTTCACAAAAG